GGGGGGGGGGCCACTGAGGCTGAGGAGTGTGATGACATACCTACCAAACCAACGAAACATTGTCCAGCTTCGGAGTTGAGCTCAAATGCGCGAAGTGCGCGAACCCAAGGCGTGAGCCGACTGTAACCAGCTGGCCCCGCAAAGGGCGGGATTTCTCCCCCAGTATTGAGTAGGGGCCTTGATTTTTATTTTTATTTTCCCAATGGCAGTTCAAGGCAAAGGAGCTCGGGAGCTGGGCCGAAGAACGGGAATTCCGCAATCAATTTTCGGGGTGAGGGGATAAGACCCATTGGGAGAGCTGGAGCCGATGGTACCGAGGGTTTAGGATGGGTGACTCAACAACACGACAAGTTTTCAACAACTTACTTTTCCGTCCGGAATATTTGATGGGGAGCCTCAGTCGCGCAAAGTTCTACCCATTGGCCTTCAGGCCGGTCTATGTATTCTCTATCCGAGCTACCATGTGACCAGCAACTTGCAGTCTCCTCGGATGTGATTGCCGTTGCCGGTCCCTGCTAAGCATAGCATTGAGGTTCTGAGAGCTCCTTTGGGGGTTCACGATATCTGATTGGGCAATGGGGATATTCCCGTCTATAGCAACCCGTCTTCGCAGTATCTCAACCATGGTGAGAATACCAAAGTTGTCTCTTGCAGTCTTGATCACCACAGTCTGCCTTTGGCTGAAGAGCATTGTCTGGTCGTCGGCAAGGCAGATTCCCTAGGCAGCAGAACATTGCCGAAGAGACCATGCTAACCGAAGCTCCGTATGCCATCTTCAACGTAAATAAACAAAACTATGGATCCGGATCTTCTCCAAATTGAAGAGATACGGCAAAGCATTCATGATATTCCACTCCGCGACGGCGTATCCACCTGAGCAGTAGCCATATGGGAACATTTTGGACCAAGCCAGATTGGCTCGTCACCATCCCGGAGAAGCCTGAATCTCTCGCAACACGCTTTGCTGTTCGTCTATGAGGAGGGTCTGCTCTATGCCTGAGTTCCTCAGTTTGGCCCCGACTCGCTCGCCATGGCACAAGTCTAACAAGCATAGAGGTGCTCCAGTGCCCCAGTGCACAGATGTTGGGAGGCCCTTTATGCCCGTGGCTTTCCAAGGATGGAGAACCTCATGTCAGGTTTCCAGGCAGCACGATCCTATCAGTGGCCCAGCGAAAGCAGGAGACAAAATATGGAGGTGCTGGAAAGGTATAGATACGTGGAAGGAGGGGAATGTGATCTCAATAGGATCCTGATGTGGCCTGTGGGTATGACCATGGCTATGCCATGATGCGAGGTACTTGTGCGAAGAATTGGCTTATTGGGAGGTTTAGAGTACTGTCAGGAACCCGTGAGTCGGAAGCTATGTCTGAGCACCGCACTGTCGTTAGTTGAGGTGCCATCCGATCTCTGGCGGAAATGAGCTCGAGCTCACACTCCCAGCGTGAAAAGAAATCATGTCATTGGTCCATAATTGAGTACACTTGAGTTTGCCTCGTCCCGTTTACCCATTCCCATTAGACTGTGTACTTCACAGTCCCACTGGCCAGAAGAGAAGCACAAAGACCAACATGATACAAATCGCTAGTCCGTTTACGCCAAACAAAACAAGTCCCTTCCTCATCATCAAGCTTCGGCCTGTTCTTCAGCAGCAACCCTGAGCTCATAGTTGAGTTCAAAACATTCAGCAAGAAGCTCAGTAACACTGCCTTGCCCTTCCGGGATATCGTCGTTGATCATGAATTTGCCATCTTGACGCATGTTGTCAATTGAGTGAAGCTGCAAGCGACTTGTTAGTGCGGCTCAGTTGACAAAGGGAAGCGCAACATACCTTCATGCTATACGGGTACAGCTCCCTCACGGACTGAACGCCACCATTGTTCTTGACCTCAATGAGGCATCGCTTGAGCGTCTGGAGCTGATTGTAGATCGGCAGTAAGGCTTCCGAAACAGGTTCTGAAGATATCATCAATGAATAGATGTATGCGTAGCTTCTTCTGATGAGATAGAGCATTGTCTACCGCTGGTGTCAGCCGAGTCCCACGAAAACAGAGGCTTATCTGACTTACACGCTGAACATAGAGCTCCGCAGGCTTGCCTTCGTCATCAATCCAGTTGCCTTCGATTCTGCTTTCGTCGATCTTGTCCAACTGTCTCTGGAAGTCAAAAAGATCCGCCTCACGTAGAGACCATGCTTGCGTGATCGAGAGTTTCTCCAGTTCGTTGCGAATGCGGAACAAGATGTCGTATGTTGGCTTGAAAGAGTCAGGAATCACCCCTCTTCTGAAGGGAAAGTTAGCGACGTCGTCGTTAGCGATCGATAACTTATGCCATACCGCTCAAGAACAAAATCAGACCACATGAGGCACTTATCCAGCAAAGCAGCCACCTCATCGAACCCGCCCGGTGTCTTCCCCTCTGTAGTCAATAGCTTGCCTTCCTTTCTCTTCTCCTCAATCTCTCGCAGTTGGGCTTGAAGTTTCTGGACTTCCGATAGCGAGAACTGCAACAATGTTAGTATTTTCACTTCTCGTACGTCCCCATACCAACCGTGCCTTTGTTCGTGTGTTTGCCAGGGACATGGATCTCAGGATAGAGATTAGCTTCTCATAAGTCTTTGGCAGGGGGTCCTCGAAACGCTCCAATCGCTTTCGAAGATGCGCCAGAGAATTTTCACAAAGCGCCAGTCTGTTAGACAGCAAAGTGATAATGTATGGAGGGTACTCGGTTTCGGTAGCCTTGACATTCTGCGCGAGCTTGGTCAGGGTATGCGAGATGCTCTCCAAGTCCTTAACGGAATACAAGTCGACTTCGGTGAGATGATCCAACAATCTCCGGATGGTGGAGGTCAAGGCATATGCGGCAGGAGCTTCGTTGTTTCGTCCGATGGTCATGAAGAAGAGCGAAAGTAGTTGGAAGCAGCTCTCCAAGACTCTGTCCACTGTAGCACGGGTTAGCCGTTGACCCCGCACAGTCGGGACGATAGCGCATTACCTCTGTTCTCCTCCCTTCGGCCAGACGGCCGGGCCTCGTTGAGCAGACGAACCTGCTCGATCGTCTCCTCGTAAAGCGGGAGAACATCCTGGCTTCGAATATAGGTCGTGCGATCCTGCTTCAAGAGCAGAAGTCTATCGCGGATCGCAACCAGCTTGTCGAGAATCTCCTTCTCGCGGTCGTCCCGCGGCGGGGGGCACGTAGGGGTATCCATCTCGCGTGACGTAATTCAAGACGGACGTTGGTTGCTGGGAGGGTTGTAGAGCTGGAATATGGGCGACTGCCGAGTGTTCGAGATCATGGACGGCCAAGGTATGCACCTCTTGGGCTGGAAGTTGATGCCGTTGCAGGTCTGCCAATGATCCAACATTCAACGAAGCACGATAGCGGGGCTGAAGGCGATTCACAGCTCGGGATGCGAAGCTAAAGTCCGATCGTCGGTGGTCTCCGGTTGGACTTGGGGTGCTGCTGAGTATAGTTGTATTGGTATGAAAGGACTGTGACAAAGGAGGGCTGCCGTGGCATCCGTAGAGATGTGCAGATGGGATGCGTATGTAAGTGAAATGCGGATGATGCGCTCCTTGTCCGGAAACCAATGGAAAGGTGCACCACAACCACAGACGCTTCTGATAGAGAAGGTGGGGGTGACTGACCTGCTTGGAAAGTCAAATCGAGGTATCGATGTGGGGCATGACCCAAGTGACGCCGACGGCAGCGGGGCAGGCATGTCCAGGTCGTCGATCCGGGATCCTATTGGCTCGCACCCGTATCCAATCACAGGCCTTGAAGAAGGACCCATTAGATGCGGGCTTTAACCGAAACCGCCGAATGTTCATTAGGTCTTGAAAGCCCTGCCAAATTTTGACTCGGTGGAAGACCTCGCGGTACCATATTGACTGCTCCTTTGACAATCACACTCACCATCCGCGAAGACAACCTCCAGTCGCAAACGCCCAAACCAGTCACAATGTCGAACGCCGAGCTCGCCTCTTCCTACGCGGCCCTCATCCTCGCCGATGATGGCGTCGAGATCACTGTGCGTCGCCTTCGAATCACCCCGCCACGAAAATTCAAATAATACCAAAATATCTCGACAAGAACCGAAACTAACAATGTTGGAATTATAGGCCGACAAGCTCCAGACCTTGATCAAGGCTGCCAAGATCGAGGATGTCGAGCCCATCTGGACTTCCCTGTTCGCCAAGGTACGACGCGACGACAATTTCCACCGATTCGAGGAAGGACAACGAAGGCTGATTTGAGATTCACATAGGCTCTTGAGGGCAAGGACGTCAAGGACCTGCTCTCCAACGTCGGCTCCGGTGGTGGCGCTGCTGCCCCCGCTGCCGGCGGCGCTGCCGCTGGCGGTGCCACCGAGGCTGCCGCCGAGGAGGCACCCAAGGAGGAGGGTACGTTATTTCCAAACCATGGATTCGAGTTGTGCGTGATTGAATGCTGACACCTGCCACAGAGAAGGAGGAGTCCGACGAGGACATGGGCTTCGGTCTCTTCGACTAAGCGATTTTTCCTGCGACGATTTCCTTCCCTTTGTAACTTCAACTGCATGGATCCGGGGGTTCTACGATTCGCGCGATCATAAAGGATTGGGTGGAGGCACGATATCCTGCTGCCTGGACAGAGTAGCTCTCATACGATAATGTGAAGACGCGCTCTACGCGGAGTTCACTGGACATCCTCAAAAAATGAAAGTGGAATTTGGCATGCTTTGAATACACCGGGACACGCGCGGTGACTGGAGTGAGCCGTGGACGTCGACATGATACACCATCTTAGCTTGAGTTGGAATGGCTTATGACTCTACCTTGGCTCGTCGAATTCGGTGACTGTTATCAATGCTTAACCATCAAGCTACACCCTGCATGGAATAGTCGGCATAAGGATGTCACCACTCCACACGTCATCGGATATGCTGATGCAGTGGGGGTGCACACAATCATGTACGTGCCTGGCCTTGACGATGGCTACATGTCTCTCAAGTTGATTACGTCCAATCCCTATTGTCAATAGGTAAGGAACTCACGAACCTGTCGACTGGCGTCTTCCCTAGCCTTGTGTTGTCGTGACCGTCGAATGTGTATTCCATCTAGACTTCGTCAAACGCAACTTAGCCCTGCCAACTACGTTAGCGTATTGCCGTACATTTGCCCGCATTGGTGCCGTACATGGTTCCCAACACTGCATGGGGTTTTGTTGGCACCACCTCGGCTCACGCTGGTCCTTGACGAAACTGCCTGGAATAGAATGTTGAAAGAGCGCCCAAGACATGAGAAAAGAAAGTTGGCGGACACAGTGCGGAGGGATGTGGTTTGCGGTCCAGGTTCTTGATTCTAATAACACTCAATCGGTGTCCTTTTTGCTAACCCCTGACAACCTCAACGCCGTCATCTACTGCATTCCTCCGAAAGTCCCCGGGTTCGTTGCCCTAGTTTCTTCGCATGGGCCGGATGAACCAGGCGTCCCCTGGCCTCCCTCGTCTCAAAATGCTTATTTGACGATGAGGACGGCACTAGGTGTGAGTCCGGCCTCCTTCAGGGTCTTGCTAAGATCCATGTGACCCTCAAAGGTTTTGCGAGGGAACGTGGTTGAGAAGCTCGTGACTGCCGTTCCGGTCTCGGACTGGAGCATCTGTGCCACCTCGAACAGCGTGGTCTCGGCGGGCAGGGTCTTGACGACGTTACCACCCGCGGTCTGTAGGCGCAGGCGAGCCTCGTTGTGGTTGGCAACTGCCTTCGGGGCGGAAGGTGTGGCGGCCGGGGCAGGCTCTGGGGCTCTTCCCTCTCTCGCAGCCTTGGCCTCCTCCGCCTTGCGGCGACGCTCCTCCTTGTCGGCCTCGATCTTGGCCTTGATGCGGCGCTTCGCCTCAATGTCTTCCTGCTTCTCCTGACGCTTCTTCGCGGCCTCTTTGATCTGCTCCTTGCGCTGCAGCTCTTCTTTGGCCTCATGGGTCTCCTTTGTGGCTTTCATGCGAATCTTCTCATTGCGCTTGGCGTCCTCCTTGTCGAGGAGAGCTTGCTTCGCCTTCTTCTCCTTGAGCTGCTCCCGGAGCTCGATGAGTTTGGCTTTCTTCTGGTCATCTGTCAGGGGAGCAATTTCCTCAGTCGACTCTGAGAAGTCGGTATGGTCGCTATTGTTCGGTGTCAGTATTCAGCGCTTTCTGGTATTCCCAGTAATGACGGCGATTTGTGTGACATGATGAAAATTCAATAAGCACGGGGAAATACCCTGCGATGAAAGCAGGGACACTGGTGGTGGTGGTGGTGGTGGTGAGACTATGGTAACTCACGTCTTTGTCGCATGGTATGAGGCAGTGTCCTGAGATCTGAAGCGCTTGCCGCACTCGTTGCAGACGAGCGACTTTGCTGTACCGCCATTCTCGAGAGCCTCAATGTTGGCTTGGACTTCGGCGGCATCGTCATCATCGTCCTTGGCGGCGCTGGCGACAGCAGCAAGCTCCTCGAGAGGCTTATCCTGGTTGGTCTCGAGCCACTCAAGAGCTCCGTTCACTATGATCGGTCAGCAAAACCATCTCACACTTTTCTGTGGTGATAATTGGTTTGAAATTATCAGGCAATAAGGACACTAACGGTTTCCAGTCTTCTTCACAGCAAGCTCAGCTCGGGCCTTTTCAAAGCCCATGTCGAGCAACTGGTCAAGATCTGACTGTGTCATTGTAGTGGATGGCGGGGTTGTTTTTTTGGGGGGGGGCTTTTAACTAGCTTTGTCTGCTTCAATGAGGAAGTAGTATTTAAAGAGGTTGGCCAGGGGTGTGTGAAAGATGGTTTGTATCCTCCTTTGCTTGCCTATCGGAGTTGAGTTGTGAACAAGATTTGGTATATTCCCGTTGCTGTATGAACGAGGCTGGCACGGTAGGTACAGCTGAGTCGTTGTTTCCCGAGACGTCATCTGCAGGTGCCTTCTCTGACAGGAGCTGTGGATAGAGGGGCGGCCTCAGTGGCTGGAGCTCGGGAGGGACCGACAACACGGACGCTGGAGCAATCCTGTTGCTTTGTAAGGTAAGGTACCTACTCAGTAGCTATGTCCATCTTCTTTGGCCGCTCTCCACTGTTTCTTCTGGTTTTGCTTCTGCCTCCAATCAAGCACCATTTATGCTCATCTGTTCATACTGCAATTTAATATTTACTCTAAAGACAGAGAGGAGGAAATGGGTTCGTCGATGGAGCCAAGTACCGTCATAGTACCTGATATAATTAGAAGCGCCACATCAAGGGGTCCCTCCCACTTTTAGTGGATGAACATGGTCAATCAAACCCCCGGGCCCGGATTAACCACCCCTGCCAAAGGGAAGCTATGTGGAGGCCCGAGGCCCCAGAGCGCGACTGCGATTGACCGCCCGCTAAGGGGGCACTGGGAGGGTTAGAGTCTACAGTGTATGGATAAGGTACCTTAATGAAACCTGGCCTGGACTCGGAGAGAACTTGTTTGCTCAGAAGCCGGACTTTGTGCGCATCCTTCTGATCCCAATCGAGTCCAGCCCAGTCTGCTGTTGGTTACGGTGGTGTGTATTACGTCGTGGGCTCTTGCGTGCGAAACACCTGCTTTTTTGCCCATACCTAGTACCGTCCCGAACCGTGGTCCTTTACCCTGTCTGCCTGCCTACCTTCCTTTCCTTACCTCACCATATCTTAGGTACCATAGGTTCTCTCCTCACATTCGAACACTTTCAAGAAACCTTGACCTTACCTTACAACCCATCGACTTTTCTAATATCGCCCCGCGCGCAACACTCCTTCGACACCGTCACCCCCCCTCATACCTCTTGCAAATTCTCTTCTTCCTGCTTCCCAGGCCGAGGCCTGTCTCTATTGCGCCGGATTCTACCACTTTCCTCTTCATTACCATCAACTTCGCATCCACCCTATATCCACCATGTCGGTCGAAATTGAGCCCACCGAGCTGAGCTTCAAGCGTACGTTCCCCCTCCGCGCATCCGATGCATCATCGTACTAACGTTTCCCTGCTTTCCAGGTCCCTTCACCGTCGAAGTCGCTCGGATTCTGCGGATCAAGAACCCGAACCAGTCCCCCATCGCCTTCAAGGTAGGCAGCCACTCGATCCCTCGGCTGTCACGTTACCCTCCGCTCACAGATCATGCGACCAGGTCAAAACCACCGCTCCGAAGCAGTACGATCCCTTGCATGTTATGTAGCCCTCATAAGCGACTGACGACATCTCCAGATATTGCGTTCGCCCCAATTCGGGTCGTATTGAACCTGGACAAGATGTGGAGGTCACCGGTAGGCACTTTGCGCAAACGCCAGGTGGTCACATGGAACTGACCGCAATTAGTCCTTCTCCAGGCCATGAAGCAGGAGCCGGCCCTCGACGCCAAGTGCCGCGACAAGTTCCTAGTTCAATCCGTCTCCATCACTGCTGACAAGGAGTTTGCAAGCATTGCCAATATTGTAGGGAAACCACCCCCACGTCGGTTCCGAAGTTCTGGCGCAGAGGCTAATCAAACGACTCCGCGCAGCTCGACCAGACTGACAAGTCTTCTCTTATTGAGCGAAAGATCCGCGTCACCTGGCTCGCCGAAGAGTCTTCCCTCAACGGTGGCAGCGCTTCTGCTGTCGCATCCACACCCAATCGCCAGTCTCTGGTCAACGGCGTATGTTCTCCGACAGCTCGTCGACTCGGAAATAAAACACTAACAAATTGCAGGATTACACTCCCGATGTCTCTAACGTCTACTCGTCTCCCCAGCAGGGAACAGAATCTGGCAGCCCTGCCCCTGCTACCCGACCCTCGACTTCTGACGTGAAGGACGATACCGTTTCCGAGAAGGCGCAGTCCACAGTGAGCGCTGCGAGTCACGTCATCGCCAATACCGCTCAAATTACCTACGAGGAGTTGAAGCAGAAGCTTTCCCAGGCCGAGGCGAAGATTGCAAGTCTGCAGGACACCAGCGGTCTCCGGCAACGCGTCAAGACCGAGACCGAGAAGCTCCCCACAGCCCAAGAGGCTGCCGCAGCGGTGCGACAGGGAGCCGAGGGTGTCTCGGTACAAATGGTTGCCATCCTCTGCCTGCTTAGTTTCCTCCTCGCCTATTTCTTCTTCTAAACCTTTCTTGGTATTCCCTGACAATGCCCCTTTACACGACCTTTCTACTGGAGGATTTATGAAGCGCTGGGTAGCACGGGGCTTTGGCGATTTTTGCCATTGACACCCTCGTAGCTATTTGCCAAAAGACATTGGCAAGATGAGCGGAAGGTTGGCCTTACGGCGAGGCGGATGGAGAGGAGGACCATCAACAGACATGGAACGGAGTAACTCACATGTAACCATACGGATTCTTTTTGTCGTAACGGCGTGGCGTCCCGGACGCGAAGTAGTTGATTTCAGACACCGATCTCATGACGATGTTCAATTTCCTGTACGTCGGTGACTTGATGCATCCAGCATTTCTCTTGCAGCGACTGCCCCTGATGATCATTTCCAACAACTTGAGCCCAATATCCAGCAATACAGCATTGACCAAGCAGGAGGCTGGCAAAATTGAAGAAGATTCTTCAATTATGTCCGGAAACCCAGTCAGGGGTTCCGATTAAGTTCAGGGCGTTAAGAGTGAGGCGCACATGTTGCATGGCATCGCGCTGATTCTCCAACATTCTGGTCACAGTCTACAGCCACAACTTGAAAGCTGCGATGAAAGGCTCACCAAATTAGGCCCTGTGATAAGCACCTAAGGAGCATTGGGGGTGGCCTTCTATAGCCTTTACTCAGCGACCAAAGGCTCGATCGCTAATGCCGCGACACTGGCTCGGCACCCACTCCCATGGCGGCGAGAAACGAGTCAAAGGCAATTCGGAGCTCGCTAGGCGTAGAAAATGTTGCTGGAGCAATTTTGTGTCCTGGCAGTAAGCAGTGCAGTGTACGCTAGGAATGCCAGGGTACGGTAGGAGGTATGGGATGTGACTATTTTTTTTTCTTTAACTTCATGAGCCAGAATAGGGGCTAGTGGCCGGGTGAGACAGTGGATCGGAGCGGCCACTCTGAGCATTTCTCTCATGACGAAACAGAGAGTGACCAAGGATGATTCGCCTTACCCTTCCCCCTTTCCCCCCTGTTGTGGTGATCTATACCTATGTTCAAAGACTTATTCGTCCGCCGTTCCTATCTGCCTGGGACGAATTCTGTATAAACGTGGATTTCGAGGGGGATTTTCTACCAACATTCAACACTACATCTCTGTGAGGGTATAGTCTTATTAGACCACTTTACTTCACCTCAAAGCCAACATGGATATTTTCTTCGCGTTGGAGGTGTAGTCTGTGGCTCGTTTCCGGATCCTGGCTACCCTGTACTCTGATGCTATCTGTAGCATCCAGATCAAAGATTTCCCCACCAAAGTGCCATAGGGCAAGTGTACTCGATCATGTTAGCCATAAATTCAGACACTATTTACACGTATAGAGGTCCAGAAACAATCGCTTCCATTGTGGCGAGCCATGGAACCAAGGTATCACCATGCAAGGTTTCTTTTCGACTCTGTTCATATCTACCGGGTTGTGTCGTTAATACCCAACTCGTGAACTAAAAAAAATATACAATGCCAATTATTCATCAGATGACTTTTTTCTTTATACACAACTGTCTTCCAGATTAAAACCAAATCCTTCTCTCGCTCTTCTCATGCCTCAATCTCCTCACGCGTCCAGTTGGCCACGGCGCCGCCGCCAACCTTGCGACCGCCCTGCTTCCTCTTGACGCGGGAGGTGATGCCGACATTGGGGTCGAGGATGAAGCGCCAGATGACGTAGGTCCAGCTCTCGTGGCGGGGCAGCTCGTCGTAGAACTCGCTGGCGATGGCGCGGAGCTTTGGCAGGCGGGTCCAGGGGACGGCGGGGAAGTCGTGATGCTCGTTGTGCAGGCCGACGTTGTACGTGAGGAAGTTGAGGGGACCGTAGTAGGAAAAGGTCTCAGGGACGGGGATGTTGTTGGAGGCGTCGCGCTGGGCGGGGGTGACGGTCTCGTAGACGTAGTGCTCGGCGATGAAGTGGCCGGCGAGCGGGTGGAGGGAACCGGCGAGGAAGGAGGAGAGGAGGAAGTAGAGGATGGTGTTGAAGCCGAAGGCTGCGTAGAGGGCGTAGTCGAAGGCGAGCTGGACAGCGATGTTGAGGTAGTGGACCCAGGTGAAGGGGACGCTGTAGACGAGGGTTGGGCGGACGGCGTAGAAGAAGATTTGGAAGGTGCAGAAGAAGGCCTTGCCGAGGATGGAGTCGAAGAAGACGACTTCGAGGGCGGTCGGGAGGTCAGTGTCGAGGCCGTCGACACCGAGGGACTTGTGGTGCGTCAGGTGGTAGGGCTAGAGGAGGCATGTACGTCAGTTATTTTCGGACCCCCCGCTATTTTCTTTTGCCATTGGCAGCTCCCGAGACTTACACGGAAAGAAGCGCTGTAGGGCACGCCAATGGGCAGGTTGGTAAAGATGGCGAACAATCGATTGGCGAGCGGGGAGCGGAAGGCGAGGTTGTGGGAGATTTCGTGGATGGCGAGGAAGAGGTTCTGGTTGGCGGTGGCGCCGAACACGTAGCCGACGAGCCAGAACTTCCATGAGAAGAAAGGGGTGTCGCGGAGATACCAGGCCCAGAAGATTTGCATCGCGACGACGCCGACGACGACATACTTTGTCAGAGGCTCCGGCCCGCAGAGCTTAGTGACCTATTGACAGAAGTGTTAGCCATTTGGCGTCCACAGACGAGACAATGGCCATTGCCGTGAGGGATTGCGGCTTGTGGGGTGGTGGGAAGGGTGAATCAAAGTTGCGTTGTGTCGTGAAGTGACATACCTCCGGATGAGCCTTGATGATGGCAAGTCGGCGGGTTCGGTGCGGTTCCTCGGTGTAGGTCCAGAAGAAGTCCTTTTCCTTTGGAGGCTCGGTCGGCGCATCGGTCGTCAGCTTACCGGCGGCAACGCCATCGGCCGCGGGGGCAGATTTGCGCTTGGACGGCTGCGTCACGGTGGAGGCAGCGGACGAAGCCATTATGCTGGGGTGTTCGGAATAGTGATGGTGGTTGTTGGTGTCGTGTGAAATGTGGCGCGAGCGGGCAGTTGTATCGAAGAACGAAAGAAGAAAAAAGGCGATACCTATCAATCTGTCCTGACCGAGAGGGAGAGAGAGAGAGGAGGGGCGAAAAGCGATCAAGCGTCGAATCACCTGCTCTGGGACATTTAATTTATAAATGTAGAGGCCTCAAATAAAGGAGTGTGTCCGTGAAGAACCGAAGATTTTCACCGAGCGCACTTTTGCGTAAAAAATAGACAAAAAAGAAGTCTTGTGTATCTTTCCCCCTTTGCGCAACAGGAAATCGAGTGTTGGTGGGAGAGAGATCATGCCTCGAAGATGGCAAATCTCCTGATGGCGGGCTGTTGGGGGTCGGGGTGTCCTTCCGAAGCGGTCAAGCGGTGTAACAAGGTCGCCTCTCCAGGTACCGCATTTTCTGGTCTCTGCAACCTGTGGCGCAGCGGTGATCAGTGGAGGGCGGAATGAGAAGGGCCCAGGCTTGCCAGGGCACCTCACAGAGGGGACACTTTCTTTGCCCCGCTGTGGCCAATCGTTCGGAACATGTGTTTTACGGCTTCTGGCTGCATGGCAGGCTTGCCAGCTTCCATGCTCTCTGACAGAATCCCATCCAGCCTGGATGGGAATAGCAAAGGTTGCTGGGTTTTTCTTTGGTTTTCTTGGGACATGGGGAAGATTTGGGGAAATCCTCCATGGAATCCCCCCACACCTTGGCTGCGCATCTTGAGCTTTTCCATGTCGTGCGACCATCAAGCTAGAGGACACGCAGATCAAGATGATGGCCATGCTCCATCTTGCAAGTTTCCAGGTACCACAAAGTTACAATTGTCGTTTTCGTCGCCTAGGGGAAGCCAATGACGACGATATCGCAGTGTATCACTTGGCCAGGTTCTGTGTACGCCCTTCTGTCGTGTCGAGTCTTTTGCAACTTTGATGTGTGATGAGATGAGATAAACCAAGGTCTTTTTTAAGTTTTTACTCTGTATCTTGCGTGGTCTAGTTCCGTCAGGTACGAATATCGTACGTCTTACATTGAATTGATGCGTGCGCGCGTTGTGTGTTCCCGCATTGTGCGAGGAGACCGTGTATGAAGAACTAGGCCTCCGTCTGGGGTCCGATGTCGAGCGAGGTCCGTGATTGATGTCATGGGACGGAGGCCTTATACCGAACCCCATGTTTCTGCTTTTTCTTCTCCGTGCCAACTTAATTGGATAGTACTGTCGTGGGCCGTTAGAGACAAAGTGCTCTTAGATGAAGGCATCGTTACATTGAAGCGCTAGATTGGCCAGTTCAATGTGCCGGCCTAGTTCTTTTTCATTTAACCGTCACATACAATTGCCGTATATCCAGATAGTTTCTGCCCGTCAGATAAGTCTTCGGAAGGAGATGGACCGCAAAAAGGGGTGCAATCGTGAACATAAGAGGTAGTGGAAGAACGGCGCTGGCATCATGGCTGTTTTACATTCGAGCCCTTGACACACGAGGATCAGCCTCTTCAAATCGCAAACAATCACGAAGCAAAGTTTTAAACAAAAGGCAACGTTTCAGCCATGCGATTCTTCTTCCTTGCCGCGTCTCTGGCGTCCGTCGCTGGCATGGTTCTCGCCAAGCCTGAGAAGATCAGGGGCGTAACCGATCCCGTCTACCACTTGTACCTCCAAGCCTATCCAAAGGATACGTCGATCGCCGTCCTGGGACCCGAGTCGTCGGCGGGTTTCTTCAACATCGCGGGGACCATCCAGAGCGCCAACTCGAGCTCGTATCTGAATATTGGCGGCGATGCTACGTCGTATAAGACTCTTCAGTTGAGCAACGCCTCCGGCACCAACGCGTGGGGCCTCGAGGGTGACACCATCATAACCACCCAGAGCAGTAGTTGGGGACGTCGTATGTGGCATTCATTGCAGGAATTTGATAGCCTTTCGTGATTGCCTAGAGCCGATACTGACTAATTCCTGACAGAATTGAATTTCTTGGTCTGCCAGCTGGATGCAAGCTTTTGGCAGCTCTATCTTCAAACAGGGAGCGATGCGCCGAATGGTAGGAACTGTAGCAATTATCAGACGATCCATCTGCCATGCCTCTGCTAGACGAGATTCGTTTGGGAAGTGTTTTTGTAGGACAGAATGGAAGGGGTTGGGCGATGTCTGGCTACGTAGCATGTAGACAATAGATGGTCTTACAAACCAAGCACCAGGAGATACTTTCGGCATACATACTGATCCGGGGGCTAGTGACCGGGAAAAAACAATGCTCGCGTCTCAGTGTGACTCAAAAAACATGGTTTTGATGCTTGGCATATTGGAACAAGGAAACTTTTGGCTGTTGAGTTTGAAGCGAATGAGCAACGTGCCGCGCAGAAGGCGCAGACTAAGTTAGGTGCCCAACACGATGAGCTCCTCAAGACTCTTTGCCAGTCTTGTGGGCAGCAATAGTCGTTGCACTTATTTCCCGTAGGTTTTGTCAGAAGGTTCTTCGCTCTTATAATCGCTCTGAGAATCATCGATAGAACAGAAATGGTCAAAAGTTGTACCAGAATTGAAGTTCAGAATGAACTATGGTTTAAGAACCGTCAAAGTTGCAATGATGGATGTCGAAAGGCGTAGGCGAGTTGAACTGAGGGTGAAAGAGAGGGAAGAAACTGCCCAAGTTGTGGGGACATAGGGAAAGGGACATCTAGAGATGAGTCGAACAACTCTGTAGAGACAAGGAAGTCAAATGTTAGTGGCGATTCGGCGCATCGAATACCACCATAGTAGCCTCGTCGGCTGAGAGCGTCGAGAACCAGGGTTTGGTCCGAGGCACCTCAAGGTGGGACGAACTAGAACAGAAGCCCGTCAAGCTTTAGCCAGACATGTCAAGTTGGTGCTGAAGGATGCAGAGGGTTTTCAAAGTGTCCATGTGACTTGTAGTGGCTTCATTGTTTAGATCGTGATGACGAGTTGGGTGGGGTTGGGTGAGGTTGAGGAATACATATTATGTAGATATGTTGAAGAGGGGTTCCCGTGATTGGCTGTCACATGCAGATACTCGAGCTGAAGTCCAGCGGGAGAAGCAGAGGGACCAGGGTAGGGATGGCACCAGAAGGGGCTAAAATGGCACCAGCACCTTTGAAGTGGAGGCCGCCGTTAGCTGCAGGGCGCCTCTGCAACGCTGCAATAACCGCTGCAAAATTAGCGAGACTTGTCAGCTTGTCAGGCTTCAGCAGGCCCAGATCTCTTGCCGGGCCCTGCTGGGATTCCAGGACTTGGGATGGACTGGACCTGCGTTGGTAATCTAGGTGGGATCAAAGCACATGAGAGAAAGCCTGAGAGGGAACCATAGGGGCACGCGACCTAGGAGAAGCACCCACTGTTGAATTTGGGATCTTGGTGCGTTCCATAAGGTAGCCGTTGGTTTCTTTGTTCAACTCTTTGTGCATGTTAGGTGTTGTATGCAGTCCGTCAGTGGTCCTATGCCTTGCAGATCATCATGTCTCATTTCTGCCTGTGTGTCTACCAAAGCAGTATGGAGCACCATCACCGTTTTTTCCTCTTTATTGTTTCCGAGGACGAAAATAAGAGGAAATAAAACAAAGGAGCAAAAGATCGAGAGGGGAAGCCCGGGCCTTGTCACATTAGGTAGCCTGAGCTGCAGCTTCACCGCCCATAGGCTTACAGTGCCTAGAGAGGTTCGTTCGTTCCTTCCAGATGTAAGCCCAGGTAAGGTATTTTAGCAGGTAGCGCCACGTGAAGATAAGAGCCTAGGCGAGCAGAGCCGCCGTTAACGATAAGCCCAAGCTCCCACCTGCGGTCCGCTTCCTGCCACCTTGCCCAAAAATCTACCGGCAGGTTGGTACGTCGGTTGGCTTTCCCTTAATCACCCAGGTTTTTTCCCGACCGCCAGACCTGGACCGACTTTGCACTTTCTCTCCTTCGAGTTGCCTGCCTGCCTTATCCCGCAATAGCAGACTCCGTCAATAGCCTCTGAATACCTCCGTCTCGCCGAAGCGAGTTCCTGCTCCCGGCGAGCGAAACGAGACGATCCACCTCACCCTGATACGACTTCATCCACGGTCACATCACCGTTTCGCGTGCTCTCCACTACCAAAAGCCCAGTCCTCTCGAAGCCTGCGACGACATTACGAGCGCTTCTCCCTCGCTTCTCTCGATCGGTCGTGACTACGCCGACTTGCCGTCCAAAGTGGCCGGCCATCGTCAAAAACAAACCCCTCTGTCGGCGCGGCTCCAGCAAGCCAGCTCGTCGCGCCGATGTGGTGGTTCCTCCGAATCATCACCAGTGCCATCTTCCTGCTGAGCATAGTCCTCTCTATACCCGTCGCCTTTGATGTCGGCGGTAGGGATAGCGGACTGGCCTACAGTCTCGCCCTCTCCGGCTTCTATTTTGTCTACTCAACCATCGCCGTCGTAACCCCCGCAAAGTCGCGCGTCCGCTGGGCCATATCCGTCATTCTCCGGCTCTCGCAGTGGGTTGTCATTCCCGGACTGCTCATCTGGGCCCTCAGCCGCTTCGCTGTCGACGCTGGAGCTACCAACTGGGTGGAGCGGACACTGCAAAGCATCACGACCTCTAAATCGACGTCATGGGGTGAATGGGTATTTGGTGAGGGTGGTGTTATTGAGACCATAACCTTGGGTGGTTGGGATAAGACGCTGCGGTACTCGAGTCCGGTCTTCCAGCTCCTCGAGGGATTCTGCACTCTGCTTGTTATCCAAGCTGCTGGGCAGATCACCAAATGGCTCGTTAACAGAGGACGAAGCGACACTTGGATTGTACGTGGAACCCCCCTCCCCCCGTGCCCCGGACGTTGTGAGCCGGTCACGAACTGCCTGGCCATGGCCTCGTGTCGCAGATTTGGATCGCATATTTTAACTCATGCAGGACTTGCTAACAATCATGTCAGATTATCCTGCTCGTTATCTCCGGCAGCGTGCTTGCGAGTGCCGTTTACTTCCTCTGGCGTGTCGCTCACTTCCCTTGGATCGACAACTCTGATGCGATTTTGATCGGTGTTACTATGACTTCAGCTTTCTTCCTCTGCGCGTATGGAATCGGCAGCGGGCGCGGCAACCCTGTCGAATCGTCCCTTCTCTTCGCATACGTCGTCCTCTGCGTCTATCAAATCTTCACCGACTACCTTCCTTCCGAATCCACGGAGGCGGATCAACATCAGTCCTCGCAGCCCGACTTCCCGCCCTTGCCGCCCATCATTATGGCATCTTACTCGACCCTGCTTCACATGCTCGGCTCCCTTCCCCATGCCGTCCACTCGTCCCTCAGTCTTCTCTACGCGGCGTTTCAGACCATTACTCCATCTGTAATCATATCGCTCGCCTTCAGACTCCTCGTCTTTTACTGCGCTACCCGCATCATTCCTGCCATCCGCGAGTCAGGAGCGAGGGCTCTGATGGAGGAACCGACTCTGGAAGAATCAGACGCTGCCAACTGGCTTCTTGGGATCATCACCTACTTTTCGCCTTCGATTCTTATCGCCATGTACACGAGCTTGCTCCTGCAGCACTTTTCAACAAATGATGGGCCAGATGGGTGGACGCTTAGAGGAGGCGACCCCGGCGGTAACGTCTGGCGCTGGACAAATGTAGCAGCAACAATGACCCTGTACGCGATCGAGTTGTACTTGGGCAACGAGGATCACGATGGTGGTCTGACAAATCACTGGAAGATGGATTAAGAGCGAGGATATCACCACTCACAAAATCATTCGCCGACACCTACTCCACGATGACATGGGGGCGTACCCTATGTTTTCAGGAATTAATGAGTACTGTCTGCCCAGGCAGGCTAACAAAAGCTGATCGATCAGCGTACATAGGTCGTAACGACACACGAGCTAAGGGCACGGAAAGGGGAAAGGATAGGCACAGAAATACGGCGTTAAGGGGGTGGAAGTCTGCATGCTCGAATGGCGATTGTTTTACTTGCGGACTCGGCTGAATAGCTAAAGGGAATTTTGACGATTGTTGCGAGAGAGCACTGCCGCTACCTGGGCTTTTCCACACTGCCTACATTAGGAAACTCATCTTTTAAATCGATGGCCTTGGAAATACGTCTTCATCCGCAATGTTGATTATACCTTGCCTGGAACGATGATGAATTCTATTCCATTGAGAACGTGACACCTTTTTTTTGAAGTCAAAGAATGGCTTGCTCAAAAGGTACCGATTCGAGTTAGATCTTCACCTGAGGTAGTCAGGAGTGTGAAGTTCGGACGGGCTGCAGGCTGCTCGGCCATAAAACCGGTCGCATCCACTTTGGCAACTTTGCGCTCCGTCGAAACTCCGTCTTTGTTGTTGTCTGGGGCCTCGGCAACTCCTCTCTCGCAACTTCACTTCACTTACACCTCTCACTCACAACCCTCAATTCTCTCGGCAGCCTCTCAACCGACTCCCCTCTGTTCCTTTCTTTCTTTTTGAGTTCACAGTAAAGAGACAGTCTTCGGCAACCTTCATCATCTCTTCCAAACATTCATAATATCCATATCTACCTAACACTGTACCTACAATCATGGCAGCAACGCACATCCCCATGCGGGCATCCACCCCACCGCCCGCAGTCTCAAAGACGACCATCCATATGGCGGGCCTCCTTTGCGACGTCTACGGGCTCGAGGAGCTCGTCGCGCGCAAGCCGCCCTCGGCCGTCTCGTGTCTCTGGCTCCACCACCAGCGCCTACGCGCTAAGGAGGCCATGTCCGACATCGCGAGCCGGGTCATTTTCCGATGGGAAGAGACGTCGTTGTCGTCGCGTGGTGGTAGTGCCGTATCAGGGGGCAGGGCACTGATCGCCGTGGCGTTTGACCAGCAGAACCACGGCACCAGGACGGCGTCCGCAACGGCGAGGGATAGCTGGCGTGAGGGGAATAAGACGCACGCGCTCGACATGTGGGGGATGGTTTCCGGTATGGTGGCAGACACAAAGGGGCTCCTGGATGTCGTGGAGGGGTACGTAAAGCTGGAGCTGGCCCAGAGGGACGTGAAGGCGACGGAGGGGTGGGAGATTGACCAGCACCTTGTGCTTGGCGTGAGCTTGGGCGGGCATAGCGCGTGGCAGACGATGTTTAGGGAGGAGAGGGTGTCGGCTGGGGCTGTCATTATCGGGTGTCCTGATTACATGGGTAAGTCTCTTCCTGGGGGCGGGCACCATGTCTTTTGAGGTGTGAGAGTGAGAAGGGAGAAACCAGACTAACTCGACTGGGTGGGAAAGCTCTCTTGTCGGACCGCGCGAGGTTATCCAAGCTGGCGACCTTTTCCGGGCAGGACAACGGGGCCTCGTTCCTCGGGAGCCAGGACTTTCCGCCGGACCTTGTGGCGTCCTGTCTGCGTCACGACCCCAAGGGCATTCTCTTTGGCATTGACCCCGTCAGCAGCAATATCACCGACGACGCAGAGGAGCAGCAGCGTCTGCGCGGTGTACTGGACGGTCTGCGCCTGCACGGCAAAAAGTTTCTCGTCTGCTCTGGCGGCGAGGACAAGCTGGTTCCCTACGCCATGTCAGCGCCGTTTGTGGATTTCTTGACTGCGGCAACGGGGACGTGGTACGGCGGGGCCGGCGTCGAGGTCGAGAATAAGGTATACGAGGGCGTAGGGCACGCGTTCAGCGAGGGTATGGTGGAGGATTCGGTCCGGTTCTTGGTTGATGCCGTTGCTGGGAAGGATGCTGGCGGGGCGGCTGGGAGCAAGTCGAAGATTTGAAACAGACAACAACATGCCGATATGGCGAAGGGGAGGTTTGGTAGGATGAGAGTGATGAGGGGAAGGGGTTTGTATTGTGTGGTAGTCCTAAGCCCACGGCCTCTTTGCATCTTCTACGAGCGCCTCGTGGCTGTCTACGATCCTGGTAGCGACGCCGCTTTGTATCCTCTCCTCGTCGCTCGCGAATAAACAGTCTTCTAGACCCCATGGATTCCTCGCCCTCCTCTTGCCCGACAGACTCGGGCCTACGCCGTGCGGGTCCTCTGTCCACTCGTCCGCGGCGCGCTGCACGCCCGCGATGGCTCCCCCTTTGGCACCGCCCTTCTCCCCAGGGGCGGTGACGATGGTGGTGGTGGTGGCGGTGGCGGTGGCGGCCCCCTTCATCCCCGGCGGATCGATCCCGATGTACCTGATCCTTTCGAGCGGGAACCCGATGGCGGCGCAGTGGCCGTCGATGATGCGCGGCCTCTTGAAGGCGTGGCTCACGATTGTTAGGGTTCGGGGGTAGACGGCATAGAGGCGGCGGAAGAGGAGGAGGGAGTGGAGGATGTTGTGGTACGAGTCTAGGGCAAGGGTGTCTTTGTGAATGCGGGCGGTGATGGGTGGGGATGTGGAGGAAGGAAGGGGAGATGATGAGGAGAAAGAAGGAGAAAGAGCAGGAGGCAGGATGTCAAAGTAGGCGTTTGCAGCGGCGAGGTTGGCGTAGGATTCTGCTTCGGAGAGGGGTGTTTCTTTGCGTGTTGGGCCTCTTTTTGAATGGGAGGAAACTCGTTAGTTGTAAGTAGCGTTTGAAAGTTGTACTAAAGAAAGACGAGGAGTCAAGAGGCAAAATCGAACATCATAGAGAGAAGTGAAGACGAAGAAAACAGAAACAAGAGTCAACTGGACGCTCGACGAAGTGTCACAATCGCCGGAGGTAGTCGCGAACGCGGGGCGCTACGTACCCCGAAAATACGAGCGCGGAAGCCGGATCGTCCCGTAGCGCCGTCAGCCCGGCCTTGCTATGCTCGACGAACGTCGGGGTTTCGCCGATCTGGAAGTCGGCGATGAGCCACTCCGACTCGGCGCGGCCGTTGGTGGGGCCGCCGGTCCAGATGCCGTGGCAACAGACGACGATGAGGTTGGTCGGGGTTGTGGCCATGGCATGGAGACTTTGGTAGAGAATCTGGGTCTATTTGATGGTGTCGGATGAGAAGGATGTCGGTGAGCAAGGTCTGCTTCTGGAACTTGACACGCGCGATGGAAAGCCGGGTATTGTGGATCATGTGATGTGGTGGCGGTGGAAGTTGCGAGTCTGTGTTGCAGGCCACGAGAGGTTTTGGAGATTACAGTATACTGTGATGCTGTTACCTTCGGGTTGTGCAGCACAACTTGAGTATTAATCATGGCACTGACAACAAGCCGCAATGCTTTGATAAACAGCAGATCATCAAGGTAGCTTATTTATTATTACTTTTACCAATCCAGCGATTGCTCACGACAAAATTCTATATGCGTCGCCAACTAGGTAGAGACTCCCTGTTAAGACAACTGGACCATCTTTAGCGGTCTCAACAGCCCATCTTGTAGCTGCTTCGAGACCGTCTTTGCTTTCAAAAACCTCACTGGCGCCCGCACTCGAGGCCATTTCCCTCAAGGTCTCGAGCGGCAAAGGCTCAACCCAGGGCATCGTCTCACGGCGCGAGAAGCCCACACAAGCGACGTAGTCTCCAGGCTTGAGAAGCGTCCGCAGCATACCGCCGGCATCCTTTCCGTCCTGCTTTGATACTGATACAATCCACGTCACGGGCTTATGGGCATCTCGCAGACGTCGCTCGACGTAGGTGGACAGCGTCTCGGCCGACTGCGGGTTGTGAGCACCGTCGATGAGAATGGGGTTCCCCTTCCGCGACGGATGCCTAGCCTCGACATCAAGCCATGATAGTCTCCCTAGATGGGCAACGTTTTTCAGAATCGGTAGCGCCTTCTCTACGGAAAGGTTGAGGTGCGGGTACGCAAGCTGGAAAGCCGCGATGGCGCACGCCATGTTCTGAGCCTGATGCGGCATCAACTCCGACTCGTACAGAATCTCGAGCAGACCAGGTTGACTCGTAGTGAGATGCAGCGGCGCCGAGACGCTCGCTGCGTGCTGCCGGAAGACTTCAAGGACCTCGGGCGGGTTGCTGCCGTCGACCACGCACGGCACACCAGCCATCATGATGCCGGCCTTCTCTTTGGCGATTTCGGGCAGGGTGTTGCCGAGGAAGGCCTGGTGGTCGAGGCCGATCTTGGTGATGATGGTGACGCTCTTCCGGCGGAGGGCGTTTGTGGAGTCGAGCCGGCCGCCGAGGCCGACCTCGACGATACCCATCTGCACGTCGGCGCGGCTGAAGGCGCCAAAGGCGATGAGGGTGGTCACCTCGAAGAGGCTGAGGGCCTCCTGCGACTGCGACAGCCGGGCCTGGTCGTCGGCGACGATCTTGCGGTTGACGTCGGTGTAGACGTCCTGCGACACGGAGACGCCATTGATCTTGATCGCATCGCGCGGCTCGACTAGGTAAGGCGAGGTGAAGAGGCCATTTGAGATGCCAAAGGACTTGCAAAGGGCCGAGATATACGTGCAAGTGGTGCCTTTACCATTTGTGCCGGCGACGTGGATGGCATCCCACTTCTGCGGGACGCCCTCAAGGGCTCTCGAGATGCGGTGCAGGCCTAGGCTGATGCCCTTCATAGCCATGGCTGGGATTTCCGCCGAGGTCTTGGTCTTACGGTGTTTGGTGTAAGGTGATAGGGTGCTCTCTGGGCCTTGGCTGAGTTCGGGTACTAAGGCCCGGAGGATCGCCAACGGGTTTCTCTCGGCTCTGGATCCGATGGACACTTTACGGAGTACGGAGTACCTAGCAGACAACGCCCGTTCGTAGCCCGGCAACGGCTGGATTTCAACACCTAGGGAGTGAGTCACTGAAATTCTCTGATTATGATGGGTCTTATTTTTTCAGGATCCGGCGCCAAACGATGTCAGCGAATGACCTTGATTGAACATTCCAGGTCTTGCATTTGACCCCAACGTTGACGGAGTGTCAGCGGCCACGCGCGAGCAGGCACGAAGCAGGTGGGCAAGCAGCAAGCGAGGTAGGTGCATCCAGGTTCCCGTAAGGTAAGGCAATGCACGGTCCATCTTGAAAAGCTACGTTCCGAATTGCATCCAATTGCGGCTCCCCGTCAGCCACCCTCTGAACGGGCAGCCTGCAGGCAGTGGATGTTCTCCACCATTGACCTTGCACCAGGAAGCCCCCATGATTGGTCAAAGATGAGTTGCTTGATGAAGCCGCGCCACAGGGGGAGAGAGAGGCTGTCTGCGACCGGGACAGGATGGCGCGGCCAGCCACTCACAAAAAAAAGAAGTAAAGCGGCTATTCCCCAAAGACCCGCGCCATTCCCATTTTCCCTCTTGTTCCTTTTTTAATAGTCCCGGAGTCTGCCTTTTCCCCCCCTCGCCTCGCTTCGTCCTTGACTGTCAATCCACGTCCAGTCCCAGTGCCCCCCCCGTCCCCGTCACTGACCCCAATCCTCGCTCCCGCCCGCCCGCTGTGCGCCCCACGAAAAAAGCCATTTCCGCTTCGCGCAACTCGCCAGTCCATCGCGAATCCATCGCGAAACACGGTACTGCGGCCCCATTCTTCGTCACTTCCATCACGACGACAATCGCATCAATCTTGCTATCAAGCCGATACTTTGCACCGCCCAATTATCAACCCCGCTGTCCTTGCTACGTTCGTTGCGCGCCCCATTAGTCGGTCAAGATGGGACTCCCGTAAGTTTCTCTCCTACCCCTGCGGTTTCCCGGTCGCGCTGCATTACCTTGGCCTTTGCGCCGTGCCTGTGGGACACTGGCTCAATCTCGGCCTGCCAGTCGCGTAATCGCAACAGCTCCCACTCCCATGCCTCCATCCGTATCCATCTCGTTCATCACAAATCCTCCGCGTTCCCGCGTATGCGATTCGTCGACCACGTTCAAAGGCTGCCTTGGCCACATCTTCGTCTTCGCCGCTGCCGCTGCCGCCGCCGAGTTGCACTCCAGTCGCGGTGAATGCAGACTGCTTCATCCCCTGGCCTTGCATTCCCCCGCTAACATCGCAACTTCCCACCTGCAGACTATTCATCGCTCCCGTCGAGTCAGACGTTCCCGCTCAAGTGGGCGACAAGTCCGCGGCCACTCGACATCCTCGCTCTACCATTCGTCGCGCCCGTCGCAGTGTCGACGCCCGCCCGTTCCGCCGTCGCGCCGCCCTACTCCGCGATAACTTCCCCACTCCCGGCCCCGAACCTGTCCCGCGCGCCCGGTATCCATGGATCGAGTCTGGCCACCCTCCGCCCCCGGAGGCATATGTTGCACCCCCCTCGAGGTCGACTCCTCCAGTGAACGACCGCCGCAACCCGGCTGCTGAAATTGTCGAACGTGCAAACGATGCACGGAACCGGCAATTCGACGCTGATGCCAGCGAAGCTCGGCTGATTTCCCTGTACGGCGATGAATGGATCCTAAACCGGATGCCTAGACCTTCAGGGGCCAACGTGGCACCTCCGACCGGTGAAGAGGATGTCAACTGGCAGGAACCCGACAGGGCTCAGCTTGAGGGCTCATCAGCATATGCCGATTTTAGAGAGCGACGGAGATTCCGTCGTGCACAGCTCGATCGCATGTCGATGGTAGGCTTTTTTTGACTGCATTCCAGAGTAAGCTGCGAACTAACATTTCAAGTAGCCCGCCCCGCCAGTTGCAGCACGCTTTGACCGCAGTCCTGAGCATGCAACTTCCGCCAGGTTTGCGGGCCGTATGCGTAGACCGGAAGTGGAACCGCGTCCAGATCGCACAACGTATAACCAGCGCGTACGCCGGATGCGTCCGTTTGGACACTTGATCGAGGCTTCTCTCGCAGACGGCCTCGGCGATCGCAACAGAAGCATCAGCCCTGATGAGGATGGCGTGTGGGATACACTCCTGACAACGTTGACGCCGGACCCGCAGCCTCCCAGCGCTGGCTCGTCTTTCGCTTCGGCTTCTGCGTCTGCTTCTGCGTCGCAGTCACAGAGCGCCGGCGCGTCCTCCCGTACGTCTGTAGACAGACCTGAAAGGGCTGAAGAGTCTACCGAGCAGCCTTGCGAATCTGGTCTTGACAACTCAGATAGTGAAGGCCATGAGGACTTGCACATGGAAAGAGGGTGGCCGGATCACTGGACGATGAACTACCCGTCCAGACACAGGCGCTTTGTTGCAGATTTGGACGCGAATGATCCGAGCAGGATATCCTTTGTTCGTGCAGACAGGCCTTTCAGCGGTCGCGACAACGAAGAGATGCGAAGCCGTCGGCGGCTGGAGCTTGCTCGACACTACAGGATCGCTACTCGTGATCCCACTCCACTTCCAGAGCTGCTTGATCATATTGTCAGAGATTCAAGCGAGGAATCGCGAGATGCTGGCGGCCCAGGGGAAGGAGATGGTGACACAGCCCCCCCGAGCCGCAACGACTCGTCCAACGACAATGCACTGGAGGGCATGCAGGAGATCGTGCGGCATCTCGCGCGGCGGCAAGACATTCCCGATGAGTGGTGGGCAGGTGCAGGACTTTCGCGGACTCTTCCCGAGGAATCCTGAAAAGCGGTTTGCACATGATTTCGGGGCTACAATTCTACTTTTTGACAAGAAAAGCGAAAAGCCTGGGAACAGAGGATGTTTCCCTAGGCATGATGTTTGGAGTAACGGGTTTGGACCTGCCATGATGGTCACGGTCAGGGTCACTTTGGGTTCATTGGCGCCATCCAGTAATCTGGGCCATCTGTATAATACGTGTATTGTGAAGGAAGCGTGCCGCGTTCGAACCGGGGTTGCGAGAGACGTGCTCGGTCAATAGGACGGAGCTCTACGGGAGGCTAGCGAGAAACCTCGGGGAAAGATGCTGGGGATCTGATACTGCAGACGAGAACTGTTAAGACAATTGGAGTGACCGTTGACCATTTTTTCTCGAGGATCTCTTGTTTTTGTTGACGACAGCCGGGCATGCTTCTACCTTGGACGTGATAAAGTGAGGGGAGGATCATAACGTCAGCAGCGATCTCCCATGGTCTCAGTCGAGAGAAGTGAGACCTGAGGAACCATCATCCAGGTCGTATTGTCTCTGTCGTTCTCTCTTTGGTCAACCTGCTGGTGGATCTACGGGTCCCTCGAGGACTCGAGGAATGCAAGAAGGTCCAGTATGGAAGGTGAGTGCCAGTGTTGTTTATTTGGATGCTCGCTGAGATATGTTGGCAGCATGCTTGGAGTGAAGTGAGATGCTGGAAGGGACTACATATGCGGATGATGAAATCAAGCATGTCCGCAAAATCACCATTCTGTGAAAGAAAAAGTTGGTTCTCGAAATCTGGTATACACGTTCGCGGCAGGCCGGTCCCCTGGGGAGGTTAGATGCAGGTCGCCGGGCTGGCCACTCACATGTCACGAAGCCGGCGGCGTGCCTTAGTGTGTTCGTTCCCGCGCTGATCAGTCCACGGGTGTGTGTGTGTGTGAGCGACCGCGGCTAGTGTCGCCCCCTTTCAGTCCCTTGCCCGCCTTCTGTTCGAGGACGGGTTTGGTAGGTGGATATTCGTGGGCGCTTGGATGGGGCACGGGAAGCAATCGAGACGAGGTGTGATAGTCTAGGGTGTAAAAAGAGAAGGACACAAAAAGGTAGTGAGAAAGGCAGAATCTAGAAAACGACGTCAGCTAATCAGAGAGGGGGGACTCGGTGGCCCTGTCATTGACATGGGGGAGGTAGGGGTAGGTACCCGTAACAGGGTATGTTGATCTCTCTAGACGAGACACTGTCACGCCGTTACTACGGCGAAGAGCGGTTCACACAAACAATGCTGGATTGCAGGATGGGACAGGTGGGACGGTGGTCGTGTAAAGACATTCGACGGTCAAGAGCTTAGGGTGGAATGTAGGCGCGTGCCGCGTCTGGGGAAGATGAGACAGAACCCAATGTGATGTGCGTGTGTATAAGACGGGGTGGTAGACAGGCTTACAGAACCGAAGTGCATTGACTTCGAGAATGAGAGGATAGAACTTGACACGGACAGAACTAGAGAGACTGGCTCGTTCGGATTTTCATGTGTCTTCAGTGATTGAGGCGAGGTGACGACGAGAGAGAGAGAAGAGAGTGAGTGAGGTTTGAGCCCGTTCTTTTGTTTCCAGTTCAGGTCGAAGGCGTGTGAGCGCGCCGACGGAGCCCTGGGGGGCGGCGTGCGAGAGCTTCTAGCGTTGCTAGCGCGAGAGTCGGAAAGGAAGCGTACCCATCCATTGCCCATTGCCCATTGCCCCAGCCTCAAGGGTGCCCACCTGGGCCCCGCCTGCTCCTCACAGCTCGCCCCTCTCGTGGATGGCACCAGGATCATTTGCTGACAAGGGCAGGATGGACCCGTAGAAACAATCCTCGAAAATCTGTAATAATCCCAGAGGCCCAAGACATGCCACCACACTGCATCGATCAGCCTTGCCGGGGGTAATGTAATGCTGGTGGTACGGGTAGTGAATACCTAGTAGACAAGTGGATAGTGGTGGTGATTGTGATAGTGACGGGAGCTGGAAATGGAGAGGTACCAAGGAGGTGTATCGTCCCTATGGATTGCTGCCCTGCGGCTACCTGACCACTGATGGCACTCGCCCGCTCGCCCATGCGCGCCCAAGGCCACTGCCACTGGACCTTGACGTTTCCACCCGTTCCCGCACCATTGTACGAATACAGCGAAGTGCCTTGGAGAACCAAATGCGGTTGGGCGCGTCAGCACCAGCGAGTCGAATCTCAAGGCTCTCTCATCTCTCCCGTCTGGCTCTAGCCCGCGCGCCTGTATATGTTTTGTGTTGTGTGCGTGCGTGTAAAAGCACCTTATCCCAGACTCGCACATCACCTCTCACAAAATACATCGTTTTCCCAAGCTGCGGCTCAGAGAGTGTGGTGCTACTACTTCGTCTCTTCCATTGTTTTTTTTCTTCCCTTTCCCTTTTGTCTGGTGATGCCCACTCTCCTCCGGGAACCCCTCCGACATCATCTCTGCCACCCACCCACCAACACCCGACGACTTCGCCGCCCGCCCGCCCAATTCCGCTCGTTTACTTTGCACCCAAACCCCTCCAACGCCCGACCGGCATACCGACCGCCTGTCCCGATCGACCGGCCGTCGTTGGCGACTGCAGCGACGTGAAACCCGACAGCGAAGAGCAATTCAAACTCCCTTGCCACTCTGCCTACGCATCGCGAACCGAGGCATAGGCTGGCTGGCCTTTGCACCCGGAGCCTACGACACACACGATTGTGTCTTTGTTGTTTCGCTGCCGTCATTTCGCACCAGCGTCAGTCCCTCGCGTTTGGGATCCTCTACCAGCAGCTGCCCACCTCACGTCACCCCTCGTTCGACTGGGTTTCCCTCTCCTCGCCCCCGCATGCCCACCGATATTTTCATGGTCTGAACGACTACTCTGCCGCATCCGCGCCCCCCAAAAAAAAAAGAAACTACCCCCGAGGACCGAGAAACAACGATCACGAACTGCATTCGACTGGCATGCCGTCCTGCTGCCGGGCAATGTGCAGCGCGCCCACACCTTTGCCGTAGCCGCTGCTTGCTTGACCTGCCTACGATCCTTTTGCTTGGGTTACCTATATTGAGAAGGCGCGGTCCTCTCTTGGAATCACCTCCGCCTTGCGACGGTTCATGTCAGCGCTCTCGAATCCCGACCACGAGATACAAGACTGGTGATTGCGCCAGGCCTCCAGTCCGCCGGCCACACCATGCCCAATCCCTCGCCCCCGTCATCGGCCTCGTCCTCTGTCGAGCGTCAGTACCATGTAAACGGCAGGGCCGCCGTGGTTGCCTCCCGTGAGAGGGGCTCAGGAACACCGAGGAAGGAGAAACAGGGCCCCAGAGAGAGCTCTGCGCTGCAAGACCCGGGCTTGAAGGATTATGTGCGTACACCCGGCCGTTAGGACTATTCCTGGAGGGAGAGATGGAGATAGGAGAGAGGAGGTGAATGATTCTCGAGGGTCGCAAAGCTAACAGGGTTCTCAATACAGCGTTTGGGAGAATGCCTAGGAAAGGGAGCCTTTGGATCCGTTTACAAAGCTTTCAATTGGGGAACGGGCGAGGCCGTTGCCGTCAAACAGATCAAGCTTGCTGATCTGCCCAAGAGCGAGTTACGCATGATCGAGGTATACTTTGCCCCTCACTCGCTTGCCTGTCGTTGGTTTGCCGAGACTAACCATTTCCCAGTCTGAAATCGACCTTCTGAAGAACTTGCATGTAGGTGTTTCCGGCTTAAGAAGTTTTACAAGACGCTTGATTGACAGTTTGTGTAGCATGACAATATTGTCAAGTATATTGGCTTTGTCAAGTCGGCAGACTGTCTCAACATCATTCTCGAGTAGGTTGAGCTTTTAGTTCGTCTGATCATGGCTGACGCATTGGCTCAGGTACTGTGAGAATGGTTCTCTTCACTCAATATGCAAGTCATATGGCAAATTCCCCGAGAACTTGGTCGGCGTATATACGACCCAGGTTTTGCAAGGACTGCAATACCTTCACGATCAGGGTGTAATCCACCGAGATATCAAGGGCGCCAACATCCTCACCACCAAGGACGGGAAGGTTAAGCTCGCAGACTTTGGAGTTTCGACGAGCACACTCGCAGGCGGGCAAGATAAGGAAGCTCAGGTCGTCGGTACTCCCTATTGGATGGCACCAGAAATCATTCAACTTTCTGGCGCCAGTCCTGCGTCTGATATCTGGAGTGTTGGCTGCACGGTCATTGAGTTGCTGCAAGGCAGACCGCCATACCACAATCTTGCAGCTATGCCCGCGCTTTTTGCCATTGTCAATGATGACCATCCGCCATTACCTGAGGGTATTTCACCGGTTTGCGCCCCTGAACCCTATCCTCTTTCTGAAGCAGGTATGACTAACACGACTTAGGCGTCTCGCGATTTTTTGATGCAATGCTTCCAAAAAGACCCAAACCTAAGAGTCACAGCGAGAAAACTTTTACGACACGCGTGGATCATCGGATGCCGAAGAAGCGACGCACCCGTTTCAAAGGCCCCAGCTAATTTCAGCCAAGCTGTGGAGGAAGTGAAACAGTGGAATAAGGCTCTCAAGTCGTCCGAAAGCTCACTAAGGGCGTCCACCGGTTCCGACAGCGGAATTCCCGGGATGCAAGGTCATCCCGGGTCGAGATACAGTGCCAACGAACCGCTCCGACCGAGCCTGATCACTCAGCCCAGGGGACCTTTGGCTCTTGCGAAACCAAGGCGAACGCCCGAAGCCTTCAGGTCTCCGGAGCTTGCTGGTAAGCATGAACTTTGTGTAGGATCGTCCGATTGAGGAAAGCATAATGACTTGCTGTTAGATGACGACAATTGGGACAACGACTTCGCGACAGCCATTTCCCCGAGCGCACTGCACTTGCCTCATCTGAAGCCCCAGGATAATTTTGGCGGTTTGTTGTCTGCAGATAAGCTCAAGGCATTTGCTTCGCTTACGGATGCTCGCAACGACTCAGAAAATTATGATGACGACTTCGAAGGAGAACTGTTGACTATCAAGGGGCCGAGACAATTTGCAGATTTCGAATTTCAGGATCAGACGATTCGTCCGACGCCTCGCAAGAAGAGCGACAAGTACCCAGAGCCGATGAAGCAACAATCACCGACCAAGCCAAGTCCGCGAAAGACTGGCCCTGCTAGAAATCCATCTCGTCCCAAGTCGCCTGTCAAGCCGCAGCTAGGCCCCAGCAAGTTTGAGATACCAGCTCCTCCAGACCTGGCATTCAGAGAGCAGAACACAGAAGACTATTCGGATTTATTCATAGAAAACGATTTCAATGATGGTGGACTGAATCCTTTCATCAAAAAGGTCGACTCTCCTCAACTGTTTCATCCTTCAGATCTCACGAGCTTGCCTCGCTCGACACAATCGCCTGTCCCGGGGAGCTCCAGACGACCGCCCAGCGCGAAGCTGCGGCCTTCTGTGTTACCAGATCGGCCTATGCGACGGACTAGATCATCGATTGAAATCCAAAAATTTGCCGAGGACGAAGGCGACGAGGATTTCTCCGACATCTTTGGGCCGGAGGATGCAGTTACAGAGAGAGAGGAGAGCGACAGGGGCTCGGAAGATGGCGGCCTCATGGTGCTGTCCAAGTATTCCAACAACTCATGGCTCGGTGACGACGAGGATGAGGATGACCCATTTGCTTCCATGGACCCTGGGTGGGACGAAATGGATCTGGAAGCGAATATTGCCAGGGACAGACACGCTAGGCTGGCAGGAAAGGTGGAAGAGCTCGTACGGTCATTGAAAACGTCAGAAGGCGAGGAAAAGCTATGCGAGCTATCTGAAGACTTGGTAAGGTTGATGTGTTTTTGCCCGAGAAGGCTCTTTACTGACGCGTGCAGCTTGCTCTATTGTGGGAGAATACCGAGATCAAAGATCTCATCCTCAGCGCTCACGGTTTGTTGCCGATTTTGGAGCTTCTCGAGCCGTGTACAGTCAAGAGCAGGCAGCAGATGATCCTGTCTCTCTTGAAGGTCGTCAATACTGTATGTCCTTTGCTCCTTGTGGCGTAAGTTGGCATGGTGCTAACTCGTCTATAGATCATTTTGGACGATGTCGAGATCCAGGAGAATCTTTGCTTCGTTGGCGGCATTCCAATCATCACCAAGTTCTCAGCCCGGCAGTACTCCAACGAAATCAGGCTGGAAGCTGCAGCTTTTGTTCGCCAAATGTACCAGACGTCCACGTTGACCTTGCAGATGTTCGTCAGCGCTGGTGGTCTGAACGTACTAGTCGAGTTCCTCGACGAAGATTTTGACGATGCTCGAGATCTAGTCTTGATTGGCGTCAACGGCATCTGGAACGTCTTCGAGCTTCAGGGCCCGACCCCGAAGAACGACTTTTGCAGAATCTTTTCGAGAAGCAAGATTCTTTACCCGCTTGCTCTGGTGCTACACAGAGTGCTCGACGAGGAGGGAGAAGATGAGCTTTCTGAGTTGATTGAGGGCCGAATCGTTAATATCTTCTACCTATTTTCTCAGGCTGAGAATTATGTCAAGGAAGTCGTCGCTGACCGGCAAGTGCTGAAGAGTAAGTTTTCGGGTCCAGTGAAGTCAGCCTCACGTACTAACAAAACGCCAGGCGTCCTGAAGGACTTGCGACGAATGACGCCAATTCACCAGATTACGATGCTTAAATTCATCAAGAACCTTTCAATGCTGTCCACGACGATAGAAACGCTCCACACAGCTGACGCCATCGAGTTCTTGATTGATGTCCTTGGCTACAGCATGAAGAAGGGACACCAGCACTTCCGAGAGATCTCCAACCAGGTCCTGAACACCCTGTTCAACCTCTGCCGTCTGAGTAAGGAGCGGCAAGAGGACGCTGCCGTTGGTGGCATTATTCCTTTGCTCATGAAAATCATGAACACCGACCGTCCGCCCAAGGAGTTCGCGTTGCCTATACTGTGCGATATGGCTCACTCAGGAAGCAAAGGTCGTAGATACCTCTGGCAGAATAAGGGGCTGGACTTTTACGTCTCGCTGCTGGCCGACCAATACTGGCAGGTCACAGCGCTAGATGCCATTTTTATTTGGCTTCAGGAAGAAACAGCAAAGGTTGAGAGTCACCTGCTCGATGGCAAGTTTACAGACGCAATCGTCGCCTGTTTCCACACCAACAAGCTCAACTCTTTTGACGCCAACCTTCTGGAGCCTCTATTAAAGCTTCTGCGGTTGAGCCCTTCAATATCAGGCTCACTGGCCAAGCCGGAGATGTTTGCGGGCATCGGCCAAAGACTGGGCCACAAAAAGGCTGTCGTCCGACTGAATCTGCTGCGTCTAGTCCGAAATATCATGGACGCATGCGAGCCAGAGATGCTGGGCATGGGCAACGGAAGCAGCTCATTGAACATCAAGCAAGTCAGATCTCTGTTTGATGCAATTCAAATGCTCGCGGAGAAGGACACCGCTGTGCTGGTTCGGAACCTCGCGTCTGAACTTGTCAAGTCACACAACGAGAGTGAGCTTTATGACATGCCATCGGAAAGAAAGGGCTCTTCGGGATCGGTAGCGTCCCGACGCTCGGGATCCGGACCCAGGCGGAAATCGTCCTATACCCCGCCTGGACTTCATCATGCCATGTCGATGCCTGCCACGCCGACACAATCGCAATCCCGCCACCACCGGCTGTCACAAATACCACCAGGGTCGGGAGGCGCGTACATTGAGGTGGCCGCCAGTCCAAGAAGGACTGCTGTTCAGGAGCGCGAGGCAGTTTTGTACCGCCCCCGCAGCAGAGACGGTGCCACAAGCATTCCTCGGCGGGTGAGCGGCGAGATGTCGTCAAGCATGCCAACGGGGCCATCCTCGGGCAAGAGTCGGCTGCCTCGACACTCTTTTGCGAGACCCAGCAGCGCATCTGGGCAGCCTCCCTTAATCAGATCAGAGAGTTCGCTGTCGAATAAAGAGAACGTCAGCAGAAACACATCCGCCGTATCAGCTCCGGCTGTATCGCCCGTCCCACCAACGAGCATGGCCAACAAGCGGCGAAGTAGAGCTCCAAGTTCGGACGTAAAATGGTCATCATAGTAGGAGCTATTACATATCAGCCACCCATAGGCTGTACTTTCTTTTTTCTTACCTTTTCTTTTTGTTTTGCATGTGCGAGTCGACGACTCGCAGGGCTTGGGCAATGATACCTCGTGGGAATATATATTCCACGATCCTAGCTGATTTGGGCTAGAGAACTTGTTTTTCCTCGATTGGTAGATTTTCCCGCTGTGTGAAAAGTGTGCTGTGGAAAACTGGGAGGGTCCAAACACACGGCTGGCTGGTAAGCCTGGGGAGAAGGCATGATTTCACCGCGTTGCACGTTTTTGATGTGAGATGATGCTGTCGTGAGTCTATTCATGTTGACGTGGAGAGGATATGAGATGCCAAGAGGGAGAGGGCCAAGGGAAAAAAAAGGGCAGGCCACACTGAGATTCCTCGTTTAAACGTTGGCTTTGACGGAGGCAGCAAAAGTCACCTGGGAGGGGACGTCTTTTGGTTTTGACAATTCGGATGATGAGAACGAGAGCTGTTTCTCGCTCCCTGCAAGAGCGGAGGCATTAGAAACAAATTCATGGCAAGCGATTGCAATCTCCATCTAGCGGCCCACCGTCGCCGCCGCCGCCGGGCAGAGTTTTTTTACTCTCCTTCATGATCCATCCTTTGGCTTCTGTCCCCTCTGCTCTCTCTCAATCGTGAACCTCCACCGTCGAAGACGTCCACATTTCAAAATGAATAAAATGGAGCATTTCCCTCTCTTGCTTCAGACGAGCCACGCATCCCCCCTAAGGATCTCGCTCCACACCGCGCCGTCGGGCCTCTCAAAGCCCCGCGCATCAGCGACGTCGGCGGCGCCAAAGTTGCGTCCGTACAGGTGAGGAAACGCCGAGGGGAAAGTGCTAGAGGGCGGGAACTCCCACCGCGTCTCCTCGGCGAGGGCTGCATAGGGGAGTTTGAGGAGCCAGAGGGATGTTGCGGCGGAGAAGAAGAGGTCCGCCGTGCCGAGGACCTGCTCGGCTGTGCTCAGGTGGATGAAGCCGTCGTTGCGGTCGAGGTCCGAGAGGGGGAACTCGGCCGGCAAGGGCGACGGCGGTGCCGAGGGGACGATTTTGTAAATGTAGTGCGGCTTTTGTGTGGGCTCGGACATTGTGAACTCTGGTTTCTTTTTTTATTTTTGTCCTTGGTTGGGTTTTCACAAGAAGTACAGTTTTTTTTTGTTTCGGTACGGGTTGGTTGGATAGTTGCCACTTTGACGGTTGATTACTGTAAGAGATACCGTGAGGTCGAGTACGACGACTTTTGAGAGGTTTTGGGCGAGGAAAGTAATTTCATCATCCCACCTCCTCCTCTCGTTAGAGTCGAAACCCCCCCCCCCCCACTTTCCTCTTCTGGAAGCCATCAGCTCTGGCGGCTTACACCCGGTGGGGGGGGCATTTCACCACGCATCATCCCTTGCACCTTATCAATCGCAAAGCGAACCAGACCCAAAATCATCATCAATGGTTTTTAATTGTTACAGAGACCTCCCGGTCCGTGTGTCTTATTTCATTGACCCTTCCACTTAAACCCCCATTCCCAGACTTTTCGTACTTGGGGACGACCGTCCCAGAGACAAAAAACCGCCAGCGCGCCTCCTTTTCTCTCCCTCTGCCGAACCCACAAGTTCTCCATCCCATACTACTCCTCCCACCTCAACTCGGATCACTAAATGTCGTAAGAAACCATCTACAAATGATGCAGATGACTAGGTAGTAAACTTTTGATTTTCCTTCCTCTCCCTCGCCCCATCTTCCTCTGGGATGCTGAAATGAGATCCTCCCAGTCAGCCCGCTTTGAGTGTGTAGTCAAATTAGATTTGAGACAACCGTAGCACCCCAACCGCATCCTCTGTATCTCTGTCTTCTTTCTACTTCGTAGACTTCAAACTCTTGCTTGATATGGCCAGTTTGCGCCTATTGAAGCGGCCGCCTTTTCGTGCTCATCCCCACGCGCGCCTGTCGACTCGCCGGTTCCTGTTGATATTGGATCCCAAATTATCTTTCCGTCGGTCAGACCCGTTGATAGAACAGCAGGTAGGCAACCTTGTTATCCTTGATATTGTCTTTGGCCGGCTTCCCCTTGGATGCGGTGCCATTGCCGTTGGCGACGGCGCTCCACTTCTTCTCGCCACCCTTTTCACCGCCCTTGGCAGAGGTGGTGACCTCCTTCCAATCATCGCCCTCGTCATCGTCTGCCATGGCACCGAAGCGGTTGGTTGATGCGTCGCGCGAGGCAGGGCCCGATCGACCGGTATCCTTGGCCTCCTCCTCCGCACCAGCTTCGGCCACGTCTTCGCTGCGGACACGCCGGATGATCGTATCGTCCAGCCGGATCCACTCGTTTTCGTCTTGCCGTCGCACATCCACAGTATAGTGACCCCCGTTAGCTTGCTTGCCGTGGTGGTAGACGACACCGATCAGCCTATACTTGGGCATGCCGACACCCTCGGAAACAAGGGCGTTGCGTCTTCTCTTCGAAAGTACTTCCGCTGGCAGCTGCAGGTCAAGAGGGTATCCGACCTTTTTGCCGATTTTGGTCGTCCCTTCGGTGTCGAACTTGAAGCGCTTCAGGTGAAGAATGAGAATCGGCGGCAAAGTCTCAATCAGGGTCTGCTTAGTCATAGGAGCAACATCGCCTTGAAGCCTCTCAGGCACCGCCAGACCCTTGATTGCATCGACAACGTTCTGGATATAAGGAGCACCAATATCCAGCTGGAGAGATTGAAAGGGCTCGGTAGTAACCGAGTCCTTCACACCAGGACGGCGAAGCTCTGATCGATATTGTCCACTGAACAACCGAGTGATTGGCGTCGTCGAGCTGGCTCCGGACGAGCGCGTCTCGACTGCTCTCTGTCTAGATCCAACTTCAAACCATCCATCCGCGCCATCGTTAGACTCAACAACGCTGGCGGCGGAGGAGGTAGGCCGGGTTTCAGCGGCCCCGTTGGTCGGTCCATTCGTCGACATTACCTGGGCACATTCTTCATCAATGGCGTTCAAAATCAGACCCAGGAACTCCTGAGCGTCTTGCTGGTGTCCGCGCTGCAGCGAAGTATTAGCCAGTTGTACATAAAGCAGATGTGACATAACGTACTCTCATGCTGGCAAACGCCGGGAGAGGCTGGATAGCCTTGTACACAAACTCGGGAATAAAGGATTCGCCGTAGTGCTCCAGCTGCTCGCTCTTAAGCTTTCGGCGCAACTTCTCGACTGATTCAGTCGAGTCGATGACCCGGAACTCCCTCATAAACATAATCATGGCATCTATGACGGGCGTATCGCTCTTGAACTTGTGTACAGCCTTCTTGCTGACCTGATCCAAAAAGTTGTAGAATGGTGCACAGAAGAGAAGAACTTGCAAAACCTAGGCTCATGTTAGTCACGGAGCTTATGTGGGCACATGGTACTAACCGAATTCATGTAGCACATATTGCCGGTATTGATCAGGCCTCTCGGCTCGATGAACTGAACCTTGGCAGGATTGCTAACGCGGAAGTCCTGAATTGCAGCGGCCAAAGAGTTTGTGTTCCCTGCGGGAAAAGTGGAAGCACCACCGTTGACGACATCATCGCCATTCGTGGAGGCACCGTTGGCCGCCACCGGAGCAACGGGACCGTTGACGCTGGGCTGCGCCTTGGGAGCAGCCGCAGCCGCAGCAGCGGAGAAGAGTCCACTCCACGACTTTGGAGCCGCCTTGGCGGCAGCTGCCGTTGGAACCTCGGCCTTGTCTTGCTCCGCACCAGCGACATCCGTACCTTCTGTCGCCCCATCGGTCTTCGCCTCCTGAGAAGCAGGCTGCTTGGATTCTTCTGCTGACTGGCTGATGCTTGCCGGCTTGGTCTCCTTGGGGCTGCTCTTTGGAAGAGCTGGGACGACCGGAACGACGGGTACTGCAGGGCGGGACGCCGACACGGTGGAATTGCTCGCCGTTGATCTGACACTCTCTCTGGGAACCTCAGATACTGGCGCATTCACCTTCGGGCTACCCATGTTCGAGACGCTAGTCGCCGACCTGTCACTCTCCTTAGGAGTTTCAGACGTCAGGGAGTCTGCTCTCAGAGTCGCGCTCTCAGAGTCGGTATCCTTGGAGCTCCAGGGCGCCGCCTTCTTAGAATCAGCCTTTGCTTTTGAACCGTCATCCGCGCCGGTTTTGGTAGCCGACTCCAGGGCGCCTTCATGCTGCTCCACAGGCAGCGTCAGATTCTGGGCATTCGCGCTCATCAATCGTCTTCGTCGTCTTGACTTAGGAGCCCTTCTAGGGAACGGTGCTTGATCGGGCGGTGTCCATGGGAGCTTTTTGTGTTCAGCTACGAAGTCAACACGATTAGAATCTGATCGACTTACCGGTGCGCGGAATTCCTTCACATCTTGGGGAAGCTCTGGACTCTGCGTAGCAGGTACAGGGGCAGGGGGCGCCGAAGGGTGGAATGGCTCGGCAAATGGTGTGACAACTGATGAGGATACGACCGAGGAAGCTACTACAGAGGGTGTGACGACGGAAGGCTCCGGCGTAGGTTCAACAGGTGGAGGCGGGGGTGGAGGCGGCGTCTGCACAGGATTGGCAGCGGGGACGGGAGGCGGGTGATAGGGCGTTGATAGAGCAGGCGATGGTTGCGAGTACGGCTGGGGAACGCTCACGCCGGCCATGGGGACATATTGAGGTTGAGGCATCGCCTGTGGTGACCGCACATAGGGCTGCTGCTGCTGATAGTGCATGTAGCCAGAGGGCATGCCTCCAGTCTGATATTGATGCGGCAGCTGATGGTAGTATGGCGTCGGCTGGGCGTAGGGGTTCATGTAGTTTGGATACATGGGCTGCTGCTGATACTGCTGGTACTGCTGGTATTGCGCATACGTCGGTTGTTGCTGCATCCTCCGTCTGTTGCCTCCTCCGGGACCACCACCCATATCAACTCCTCCTCCTGGCCCTCCGCCCCCCGGCATGGCTTGCCCAGCCGGCAGATGACGATTGTTCATCCTGCCGGCTTGGGAGTCGTGTATTTGCAGTGATCGTCCACGGCTGGAACTATCACTGCCTTGAGTCTGCGGCTTCCTTCAACACGTTTGTCGGCGCGTTCGCAATGGAGCGTCGACAGGTTGGACGGCGGTCGGTTCGCGTATCGATTATTAGGTTGTTTGCTTGTGTGTGAGGCACGAGGGAAATGTTTCCAAACGGTCCCAGTCGTGCGTCGCTCTCGTGAGGGTTGCGGGGAACCGTTGGGAAGAAAATAGGCCCGACTTAAGTATTGCGAATGAGCGAAGGGGGAAGAAGCAAAGTGAATAAGTCGCTCGCCACAGTTGATTAATCGCGCAGAGACGGAGGGACGGGCTGCGATGAAAGCAGCAACGGCGAAGGGTCGACGACTGGGGACGGGGCGACGGCTGTGAAGCTGTGCGGTTGCTTCCAATGGAGATGACAAAAAATTAAGCCGCGCGCGGGAGTGGTAGAACCGTCGACCTGGAGCTAACGGACAGCGGGCTCCGGGCTTTGTTGGCGCAAGGCGATTGCCTGGGCCGAAGCTTCGCGCACAGATCACTTTTCGATCACCGCGAGCTTCCATTGGGTCTCTTCTTCCGTAGTTTGCCCGAATACAGGCTCACCACGGAAGGCTTGACCGGAAAACACACCTGCAAGGTGAGCTCGGTGACGCTGGATTAAACCACTTCATTTCTCGATTATTCCGAAAAAGTCTGCAATCACAGGACAACTTAGAGTTTTCGAGATACTGCATCAAAACACAGAGTGTCGTGTAAATCTGATATCACCATCGTCAATTACAGCCAAGACCTCGTCTGGCCGGAATAGCAGTCATGCTTGCTCGTCCAAACGAACTCCAAAGGATTCACATCCAAATGATGATTAACAGCTCTCTGCAGCTCCCGTCCATCTTTTTATCTGTAGTGTAAGATGAAGGATCATGGATACCCTAAAATATGAGGCGCATGCTGGCTTGGTATTGATTATATCTTAGGGACGACATAGTCCATGATTTGTGATAATTGAAACTGGGTAGGGATATTCGTTTGGGACTTCCCTATCGTGCACTTGGGCAGTTGAGTTACGCTTTCGACCCCAAGTGTCCCTGGAGCATCAATATCTGCTGTTTGAATCAACGACACTCCTGCGTGTACCTCGCAAAGAAGCTAGCCTCGACAGCTACTTCACTCATCCTTGAAAATCCAGCGGCCTCTTCCTCTCATCGCTTCTCGATACCGTTCTTGGATCATTTGTTTCTCCCTCTTTTCAACTTCTGCCGTCTCAGCCTGATCCTCCTGCGTAGTAGGAAAATCCGCGTTCCAAAAACCCGGAGGAGAAGGCCTTCGAGCGTATCGGTGACGATGTTTGCCCAACTCATTAGCAAGTTGCCATGTTTTAGCCTCTATCCACAGGTCTTCTTTCTCTGCCTTGGACATCCCCAAAATGATGGTGATTCTGTCACCAAGATAATCTTCGAATAACTTGGTGTCTGATACCGGAGTGCGTTCGACGTTGTTTCTTTGGGCTAAAGCCATAGCGCGGAATTGTGGACCACAACAACTCATGTCCGTACAACCAGGCAAGCAGGCTCTGTCATCTCTGTTCCTAACTACCTCTGAATATGCATAGTCGGAACCGCCGTTGAACTTCGGATTGACCTTGAAGTCCTCGAGACGCAGAGAGGCAGCAGGCTTTGACCGCAGTGACGCACTCGTGGGTAGCAGCTGTGGGCCGGCCGTCGCACTATTTCGGGACTGCCCGCGGGCTGTGGCAGGCTCCGCGTTCTCTCCTTGCTCCATTCGGCCGACAGGTGGGGATTCTTTTGACCTACCGCGGCGCTCCTTGTTGAATGGGAGCTCCCGACGCTCGGGAAATTGGGGTCCATCTTCCGCCATTCGACCGGTATCCCTGAGACGGGGTGCTGACCGTACTATGGCAGGAGTCTTCTCTGGAGACGGTGCGTTCAACAGCGTGCTCAAGCGGCCAGGAGGTTGCGGAGTGCGGAATAGCCCTGCCGGCTCTCCATGGCCTGTTTTATCGTAGACAATTCCATCCTCAGCCAGGTTCCTTATGCCTTGGGCGAGACCCTTCCTTGTTGGTTTTTCCACGGGATTCAACTCATATGGGCGCACCGGACGAGCATTAGGATTGACCGGTGTCAGAACCACTGTTGAGTCGTGTGTCCTACTTGTCGGCGCATTGGTGTTGTCAGGCCTGACAAAGACGGGCGCGGCTGTCTGGGCTCTCTCCGTGTCCATTTGACCAGGCGTGGCCAGATTGTTGGCCAATAACCTATTCTTTCGTGGTGTGTTTAGTCTCTGACCAACCTCATCCAGATCCATACTTTCTTCCTGAAGCTGACTGGTGACAGGACCCGCAGTAAGATTCGAGCTCTCCATCTTTATCCTGCGTCGCTCTCCTTGTTCCGCAGAGGAATCATCAGGATGCTTTCTCTTGCCTACAAGGCGCTCCGAGATGATGACAGGGCCGTCGGAAGAGGGCTCTGGTTTGATGCGAATATCCGAATCTGTCTTGGCGTTCTGTCTCATTGGTGGGAGAGTAATCTCATCGGCCTCCTTATTACCCTCTGTCGTCTCCCCCTCCGTCGGGTATGTCGCAGGCAGATTCTGAGTCTCTATGCCATCTGATTGCACGGGAGCTATTTCGGCAGAAGATTGTCGCAAAATCCACGGGTTGTTGAGCGTTGTTGTTGCTCCAACTTCAGGATCTGACGCAAAGCTCGTAGCTGAACGCGCGTGAGGCCTCCTTTGTTCTGGGAGCGCTTCTGCCGAGGGCGCCGCAGCATCAGCATCGCCTCGACGTTGCTCCAGATATCTTATCTTGGCTTCCAAACTTGTCGCATAGTCTTCCCATTTCTTGTTCTCCTCCTTCCTCTCGTCCCTCCGCTTATTGAACTCTGCTTTCAGGATCCTGAAGTTCTGGTCCAGAGCATTATATTTCCGACGTAGCTTATGGCTTTCCCGCAGCACATTCTCTAGATCACCTCCATTGTCAGGAGTCTCTGCTGGCGCAAAGTCTGTGTTGGTGGCTTGGTCGCTGGTGACATAACTCGGGCGGGAGCTACCTCGAGACGACTCAACGGATCGATTTTGCTGGTGGAATTGGAGGAGCTTCGTCCTCAGCTTCCGGTTTTCCTCCTCTAACCGATCAACTTCGGCAGAGCGAGACCTCAATATTTCAAGCTCATCTGTGAGGAATGCGCGTGATCGATCGTCCTCTTTCAGCCTTTGCTCGACCTCTGTTGAGAAGCTAGTATCATAGTGTCATTACGGCAAAGCATCTACGATTGCACATACCGTTATCCAGTTGCTCACCAACTGTCTCACGCAATGCGTCCAATGCATCTTGGATTGCCGCCCGACCTTGCGCCGACCACTTCTCCATTATGTACGACAGGAACTCTGTCAAGGTACATGAAGATACGTGCGTGGTTATGCAGCTGTCAGTTCAAGCTGAGCTCTCCGTGGCACGCCGTACTAAGACGCGCCTTCCCTGAACCGCGTTTTGCCAAGACATCCCCATATTGTTGTTGTTATTTGCGCCACGGAGAGGTCTGTGCAGAAGTTCCTGAGCCACAATCTCAGCCACTATTCAAACGACAGGCACGAGGAGACGTTCTTCCTTCAACCACGCTACCACGATACCACGCTCTGCCATCTAGCATCATTTTGTGCAAACCTCCTCCTGATGGTCTCTGGATTTTCATTCCGGATTGTGCCTTAATCAATGCAATCTTCCAAGTTCCAGAAGCGCCATGGTCTACCTCCCACCCTTCGGAGTCATTGCAACTTCGGGATGACCCAAGCACGAAGGCGGGCAGTCTGATTCCTGGTCGAACACTGCATCGGAGCCACTTCCGCAGTGAGAAGAGCTTGGGCGGGGCGCAGGATGGAAATGCAGAGTAACAAGCCTTCGATCGATCAATTGGTACGGCTGGAATGGCTTGTGACACGGATACTGGTGGGCCTGCACGGCTTCTCCGATATATCTAGGTACTAACAAACAGTTCAAGGCTAATAAGATTGAAGACACTCTCTGGTCAGTGGGCCCCCCGAAATCCCCACGGACTACGGTCGGTCGCCCGGGCCGGCAGCTCTTCAACGGTCACCGACCCTGGCGAATGATCGCCATCGCAGACTGCAACATAGGTTGGTTCATCGACCACAAAGCCATCTTGCTCCTGACTCTGCAAGAGCTCGGTTGAAGCTCGAATTGGCAATGCCGGGCTTGATTGAAATATCGCCCCTCGACCTTGCATAATCGCGGAAACCCCGGATCACTGATCAATCCGACGACCACATTGCGCCACGTTTACGGATACAATGCCTGAGGAAGTCTGAAGCGGCGCCATAGCACCGCCCATAGCACCGATACATCCAGAAACGCCCATCTGGGGTTGAGAGTGTATGCGGGAGCTTGGGCAAGAATTTTTGGTACCTAGCCTGGCTTTCGCGCCGTCCTTGCTTAAGATGGCCCAGAATCGGTTTCGTGTCGAGAACACACGCAGGAGCGAAAAGCCAAGCTTTGAGAAACATGCCACGCTGGGCAAACGATTTGCCCTGCACGGCCTGGGTTTTGCTGCTATAAAAAGTTTCGAATACTGACGAGTAGGCCACAACATCTCTCTCTCACCCGATACCTCCTTAGCTACAGCAATCAGCGGGAATCGCAACACCTGCCGGTGCCACGTCTCCGCCAGAGAGATATGTGGCAGACATTCTAGCGGGCAAATGCCGGTATCCATGAGCAGGCCCCATTGCTGGTCTCCGCGTCTCCCCTATGGCTTACGGGCTCTCCTGCATATTATTGCGGTGGTTTGTGGTTACATGCCGTTCTAGCGTCTTGGGTCGCACGTGTGGCCTCGAAGAGGCCAGTGGTCCGGTAGAGACTCCACACGAGTCGCATTTGAAGATGCTTCACATTTGCAAAGATGCAGTGGTGCCGTCATGTTTTCCCGGCGTCCGCCCTTGGAGCTCATTTGGGCAGGTCGCGACCACCGCCGCTTCATTTCTCGGGTGACACGCCTGCGGACTATGCGCCTGGAGCCCACGAGGTTCACGAGGAAGCCCGTCTGTTGCGTTGCAGCGATTGGACACAAACCGCAGTAAACGAGACCTAGCTTGCAGATGCAGTAGACATGGGTTTAGGTGCACAGTGCACCTAAGTCGTTGTGCGTTTGTTGCGTAATGGCCGGCCAAGCGAGAGAACATTCGATGGAATATCGTTGTCAACCAACACTTGCGGCGACAACAGGCGCAAGCGCAACGTACCGGATTGGACGCCGTACGGAAGACTAGTAATACGCCAGGACAGATTTCTTGGTAATTGAGCAAGCGTCCCGGATAAGAGAAGGGTTGTCGGCACAGCTAAGCACGAAGCGAAGTGGCTGTCGGTTGAAATGGCTGTCGGTTGAAATGGCTGACCGGGTTCATCCGGTCTACGCGACTTCACAGGCCTGGGCGAAAAGCTTACCACCAACCTGAAAGGGAAGATTGGCCGAGATTGAACGTGGCAGATCTGACCCGGGACCGGAACTGCATCTCGATGGAACGAACCAATCCTCTGCTCTGGTTTGCTTGGATGGCATGGCATGGCTAAATGGTTTTCCGAAATCTGAGAATGGAATGAAACTCGTGGGATTTGTGCGTTTATTCCTCCAGTGAGATGTAGCGAATTGGGTTCGTGGTGGGAAGGAGGTTGGAGAGAACGGAGCCGACGATCAAGATTTTTTGTCCTTTTGTTTTCCTCTCGTTCTTGGAGGGGGTTTGCTTTCTGATGAGGGGGACACTATCGATCTAGAGGGGCTATCCAAGCCTCGGTTCGGTTTAAACCTACTTTGATAGCATCTCCGACATGGCTGTTTACCAGCCTAGGGCAGCAGCAGGGCAGGAAGTTCATGGGATATGTTTCCTGAGTCGAGGGGAGGCCCTGCGAGGAGACGAAATGACTCGTAAAAATTTCTGAGAATTGTCCTCGAGCCTCGGTGTTCTGTAACCGTAAGCTGATCTGCAGTAGACAGGCTCACGAGCTTCTTCAGGCTGGAGCTGGAGTTGGAGCTAGAGCCATGCGCAACTCGTCAGCAGTTTAAAAGGGCCACAGGGAGGCATGTGCCATCCCACCGACGAATAACCTTCACCACCAACGAGTGGCGAGACCGGGATCGCGGGGTACAAAACTGAGGCAAATGTAGCCGAGACTGCCCGGCACAGGGTTAACAATACGCGGATTGTAGGCAAGCAGAGCGTACCTACTCGTACGGTGCAACCTCAGGTTGATTATTCAGACATTACTTGGGCAATCAGCACGGTTGGAGACCAGGCTCATGCTGCCTGATAGACAACACAGTGTGAGCCAGCTTACGATACTCCACTCCTCTTCTTTTCCACTCTCAGTCTCGGTCCCCACTGCAGTGTGCATGAGAGGGGCAGCAGTAGCTACTGCTGTCCTGTAGCAGAGGCTTGTGAGACAGGAAACTTATCAGAGCCCACTCATCTGGCGAGGTGGCAGCGTGAGAGGAGCACGAGAGGAGCGTGTGATGAGGGGCTGCTTAGGACAGGGAGAGATGCAAGGGACGGGAGCACAGTGGCACGAAATCAAGGATTTCTGACCCCTCATACGGATGGAAGGGGTTTAGCAAGTTTTGGGGCATCGCATTTCACAGTGCTTGGGGCCGGGCCTGGCCTGCCATTTTGGCCTGCCAATGCTGCCATTTGCCTGCCTCTCGGCGATTTTTAGAATATTACACAGGGGTACCCCACCTGCCTGCCTTCGACATGCTGAATTTTCTGATTGGTATTTTTTTTTTATTTTCCCCATGGCAGAAAAAAATAATCGAAAAAATGGAGGGGCAAAAGTGAAATACGGACTGCACGAGGACAGCGACGGATGGTGGGGAGGGGGCCTCATGAACACTACAGCAACTCACCTCCCTCAACCGTCGGGGGACCCTTTTGACAAGAAAAAATTGCACTTTATTTTACCGTGATCAACCTGGTCTGGAGCATCGACGATGCAGTTTGGATTTGTAGAGTCACCTGCCTTTGAGTTCACCGTCCCTGGAGTTTGCGAGGAAAGGGCTCGAACCAAGCGCTTCCAATGCCCTCCGACGGCCTTGCCCTCCGACGGCTTCTTCTACATTCCCCATCAGAATATTAGAGTTTCGTGTCCCGTCATGTCCGGCCTTATTGGAAGGTTCTTTAGGCTATCAGAAACCCGAGCTTCAAGTCTCATCATCTCAACTTGTTGAACCTTGGTTGTCCTGGGCCACCCGAGTCCTCCTGGGATACCTACGTAATGTGGTATTCAAAACATGACCATAACCCTTATTGGCAAGCCCGGGTCGCTTCCCGGTGCTGCATTGGTGAGGCAAACTAACTAGCTGCCGCCCCTTTTGTCTGGCCTGATTCTGCCCAAAGTGTTCCAACCGTGTCATTGTGCCCGCCCTATCTAAGCTGACGGACAGCACAATCTCATCTTCGGCTATGGGAACAGGCGACGGCACATATCGGGCATTGGAGGCCAGCTCAAGGAAGCTGTCCCAGGGCACAGGCACAAGACGAGGCAGGCCAGCCACGTTCAGAGAACATGTGAGGGCAATATGTCAAAACTCACATCGATTGGCAATGACAGACATGTATCTGGTCTTGTAAGATGGAGAAGTAAGCCGGTCGAATACAATGCTGGCAATGACAGCATCAAGTGCATCAGCCGAACAGGACTAAGATGGCAAGTGTACTGATAGTTGAGCTGAGAGGTAAGGTAAGCTGTGTCAATCTCCGTCACACACCTCATAGGTATCCAGACACTCACAAAGTCACAATCAACACAAATGCCGTCTGCCCGGCCCAAGCCAGAAAGCCCAAGGAAGGCCAGAACGGGCATCCAGAGACGGGCTCTTCCCCTTATGAGAAGGGTCTTGCCTATCTGATTGGTGCTCCGGCGCCAGCCCATCTACCAGATTTTCTTGGGCTCCACAAGGCGGTCTGACAATCCAAATTCGCTGCCTTTTCTTTTTTAACCTTGGCCACTCCCTGCCGCAACGACCGCCTCCCTCCCCTTCTCTCCCACAACACAAAACCACCACCACCCATCGCAAACCTTGCAAAACCACAGCAAATACCCCCTCCATTTTTTCTTGTCGAGCAGAGATTTTTCCTCACGGCTCGATCATCCGCCCTTCATTCGTGAGTATAGCCTTTTTTCCCCCGTCGTCCAAGGGGGTGGAAGCCCTCGTTCACCATATATGTTCATTCGACTGGGATCCCGTCATCGACATCAACACACCTACAGAGCTTGCCAGCTGCCACCGAATTTCACCTCTTGAATCTGACGAAGGCGGCGCACACGCACCTCCATCTCCAACTTCCCCACATCGCGCAGCGCACACACACACACACACATACACACATGCCACTTGCCCCTCCCCACGTCAACCACATTGCGACAAGACGTCTTTCGCCTCTCAGATCTTTCCCTCTCGCACGAAAAGCTTGGCCCAATTCCTCCTTCGACATCTCAAATCACCTCATCGACTTGCCGTCATTCTAACGCATTTCTTCCAGTTCTGAACAGTACCGTTACTACTTCTCACCAACCCAATATCAATCGCAATGGATTTCCAGGGATCGGCCGGCGCCCCTCAGGCTCGCACCTGCTTCACCTGTGAGTGTCTTCCCAGCTCTAGCCCCCTTCCCGTCTCACCATTTCCAACCTATGCGCTGCTCTCATGCTTTTCAATTTTTCAACTTTCGTTTCTGTGGGTGGGCTTGTGGCTTTCGGTGTCAACTAGCACCTTATTCCGGAATTGGGTTGCCATTGGTTCACCGAGTCCTCACCGCTCTCACCCTGAGCTTTTCAGCCTGTCATTGGTGGCTGTTTCATTTATGTAGCTTTCCTCTGGGCCCCTTGTCTCCGAACTCACGTTCACCCATCCGCTGGATCTTGACGTTGCTGGTCATCGTGAGCGCTGAGGACCCTGTCGAGCAACAACACGACTTGCATGTTGGTGTCTGGCAGAGTCCACAGCGGCACGAAGCTTGAATACATCACTTGGAAGAAGGCCTGGCGGCAAAGCGATTCCGTTCGTGTAACGGCTCGCCAACTTCGTATTTCTGGGCCAGATCTGTCAAAGAAGCCGCGTGTATACCCTTACTGCGTCATCTTACTGACTCTGAGCTGGTGTGCCAGTGACACCTTGATCCTGCCTTTTCTCAAAACGTTATCACCATTCCATGAGCGCAAGAGTCTGACCAGAAATATTTAGGCGGTGCGGCTGGTCACCAGGTACGACCTACCGGAGGATATGACGATGTCTAGCTTTCGACTTACTGACTACGTGTAGGCCCGCGAGTGCCCTAACCGTGGCGCCGCCAAGTGGTATGTTATTGTGATATTTTCAACCCTGCTTACTTGATTCATACTTACCTTTACATAGCTACAACTGCGGCAGTGAGTTTTGATGTGCAATGTGTGTTGCCGACGAGATGACTGATTGACGTTTGCTTCAGACGAGGGCCACATGAGTAAGTCAAACTCTCCAAGATGCTCATCGGATTGTTCATTAACGTACTTCAAGGCCGTGACTGCCCCGAGGGCCCCAAGGACACCAAGTCTTGCTACCGCTGCGGCCAGGCTGGCCACATCAGCCGTGACTGCCCTCAGGGAGGCAACGTCGGTGGCGGTGGCCCCTCCAGCTCCGAGTGCTACAAGGTTTGTTTTGCCTTGCCTTTCCCATCTGCACGACATTTGCCAGTACTAACATGCGATACTAGTGCGGTGAGGTCGGTCACATTGCCCGCAACTGCCCCAAGGCTGGTGGCGGCTACGGTGGCGGCTACGGCGGTGGCTACAGCGGCGGCGGCGGCTACGGCGGTGCCAGCCAGAAGACCTGCTACTCCTGCGGTGGCTACGGCCACATGTCTCGTGAGAACTCAATGACCTCATGGTTGACGACTTGACCTTGCTAATATACATACCACAAGGCGACTGCACCAACGGTTCCAAGTGCTACAACTGCGGCGAGAACGGCCACTTCTCCCGCGATTGCCCTAAGGAGTCTTCCGGAGGCGAGAAGATCTGCTACAAGTGCCAGCAGCCCGGCCACGTCCAGTCTCAGTGCCCCAACAACTAAGTCCAGATGGCTATCGGCGATGAGTTATCTGCCTACCCGGCAGATTCAGTTTCGGGACAGTTCGACGGCTTCGAGACTACCGTGGCTCACTTATGCGATATCAACTAGGCATTGCGAATGCTTTGTACATTTCCTTTTTTCAACCTCGTCTTTTTTCGTCTTTCCTTGCTCTCATGTTCTCACGGCAAACAACTCTGGGACTCGGCCCGCGGAAAAGTTTTACACGGACAACGGCATATGAATCACGGCTTTTTCTTAACGCACTAAGATACACCTTTCGCATTTGGTACGTCAGCCTCGGCAAAATGCGGGGTTGGTCGGATCGTTTGGATGACGATGGCAGCAACGCAAAAGGGGACAACAAGCTTTTGCGCCTGACCTCTCTCCGGTTTTATGGAAAATTGAGAGAGAGAGGAGTAGCAGAGTGGGAAGGGCCTTTTTGTGGGCCGGAATAGCTTTCGACCTCTGATAGACTTGGTCGTTGCGTTTGAGCAGTCGGGAAAATGGACTCTCATGTAACGCGACCTGGGCAGTGTGGGCCGTTCTAGGCGGTCATGGCTGTCGTTCAGGGCAGGGAATGGAAAGTTTGCGTCGTAACCTCTTTTTCTCCGGTCCAGAGTTCTTTGCATTGATGTGTGTCGTGATAGCTGAGGTGATTAACAGACAGGGCGAGTGATTGTGCCGAGGAGTTTTCTTCTGCCCAATGGTTAGGAGATGGGCAGACGGGAGGTTGG